AAAAATTATTTTTCTCCAAATAGCCCACAAATTCCTTTGGATGCAAGAGGAGCATCAATCGATACTCAAACACCCAAAATTTGAAGATTTGGGCACGAATCATCGATATATTGAGGAAAAAATCATCATCTTTTCCCAAAAATTTACCTAAATTTCGGCGTCAGTTTTCTTTTTAATGGCACATCTGTCCCAAAATCGAGTGGGAACGTGCTCTAGGACCCTTTAGGCATCTTTCCTGCAAGTTTCAAGAATTTTCATTTTTTGGCCAAATTTGATAAAATTGCAAGGGGTTAGCCTTACATTTTGACCCAAATTTGGTCAAAAAATGATTTTTCTCCAAATAGCCCACAAATTCATTGGGATGCAAGAGGAGCATCAATCGATACTCAAACACCCAAAACTTGAAGATTTGGGCACGAATCATCGATATATTGAGAAAAAATCATCATATTTTCCTTAAAATTTACCCAAATTTCGGCGTCAGTTTTCTTTTTAATGGCACATCTGTTCCCGAAATCGAGTGGCAACGTGCTCTAGGGCCCTTAAGGCATCTTTCCTGCAAGTTTCAAGAATTTTAATTTTTTGGCCAAATTTGATAAAATTGCAAGGGGTTAGCCTTACATTTTGACCCAAATTTGGTCAAAAAATGATTTTTCTTCAAATAGCCCACCAATTCCTTTGGATGCAAGAGGAGCATCAATAGATACTCAAACACCCAAAATTTGAAGATTTGGGCACGAATCATCGATATATTGAGGAAAAAATCATCATCTTTTCCCAAAAATTTACCTAAATTTCGGCGTCAGTTTTCTTTTGAATGGCACATCTGTCCCAAAATCGAGTGGGAACGTGCTCTAGGACCCTTTAGGCATCTTTCCTGCAAGTTTAAAGAATTTTCATTTTTTGGCCAAATTTGATAAAATTGGAAGGGGTTAGCCTTACATTTTGACCCAAAGTTGGTCAAAAAATGATTTTTCTCCAAATAGCCCACAAATTCATTGGGATGCAAGAGGAGCATCTATCGATACTCAAACACCCAAAATTTGAAGATTTGGGCACGAATCATCGATATATTGAGGAAAAAATCATCATCTTTTCCCAAAAATTTACCCAAATTTCGGCGTCAGTTTTCTTTTGAATGGCACATCTGTCCCAAAATCAAGTTGGAACGTGCTCTAGGGCCCTTAAGGCATCTTTCCTACAAGTTTCAAGAATTTTAATTTTTTGGCCAAATTTGATAAAATTGCAAGGGGTTAGCCTTACATTTTGACCCAAATTTGGTCAAAAAATGATTTTTCCCCAAATAGCCCACGAATTCCTTTGGATGCAAGAGAAGCATCAATCGATACTCAAACACCCAAAATTTGAAGATTTGGGCACGAATCATCGATATATTGTTGAAAAAATCATCATATTTTCCCTAAAATTTACCCAAATTTCGGCGTCAGTTTTCTTTTGAATGGCACATCTGTCCCAAAATCAAGTTGGAACGTGCTCAAGGGCCCTTTAGGCATCTTTCCTGCAAGTTTCAAGAATTTTAATTTTTTGGCCAAATTTGATAAAATTGCAAGGGTTAGCCTTACATTTTGTCCCAAATTTGGTCAAAAAAATGATTTTTCTCCAAATAGCCCACCTATTTCTTTGGATGCAAGAGGAGCATCAATCGATACTCAAACACCCAAAATTTTGAAGTTTTGGGCACGAATCATCGATATATTGAGGAAAAAATCATCATCTTTACCCAAAAATTTACCCAAATTTCGGCGTCAGTTTTCTTTTGAATGGCACATCTGTCCCCGAAATCGAGTGGCAACGTGCTCTAGGGCCCTTAAGGCATCTTTCCTGCAAGTTTCAAGAATTTTATTTTTTTGGCCAAATTTGATAAAATTGCAAGGGGTTAGCCTTACATTTTGGTCCAAATTTGGTCAAAAAAAATGATTTTTCTCCAAATAGCCCACCTATTTCTTTGGATGCAAGAGGAGCATCAATCGATACTCAAACACCCAAAATTTTGAAGTTTTGGGCACGAATCATCGATATATTGAGGAAAAAATCATCATCTTTACCCAAAAATTTACCCAAATTTCGGCGTCAGTTTTCTTTTGAATGGCACATCTGTCCCCGAAATCGAGTGGGAACGTGCTCTAGGACCCTTTAGGCATCTTTCCTGCAAGTTTAAAGAATTTTAATTTTTTGGCCAAATTTCATAAAATTGCAAGGGGTTAGCCTTACATTTTGACCCAAATTTGGTCAAAAAATGATTTTTCTCCAAATAGCCCACAAATTCAATGGGATGCAAGAGGAGCATCAATCAATACTCAAACACCCAAAATTTGAAGATTTGGGCACGAATCATCGATATATTGAGAAAAAAATCATCATATTTTCCCTAAAATTTACCCAAATTTCGGCGTCAGTTTTCTTTTGAATGGCACATCTGTCCCCGAAATCGAGTGGCAACGTGCTCTAGGGCCCTTTAGGCATCTTTCCTGCAAGTTTCAAGAATTTTAATTTTTTGGCCAAATTTGATAAAATTGCAAGGGGTTAGCCTTACATTTTGTCCCAAATTTGGTCAAAAAATGATTTTCCCCAAATAGCCCACGAATTCCTTTGGATGCAAGAGGAGCATCAATCCATACTCAAACACCCAAAATTTGAAGATTTGGGCACGAATCATCGATATATTGAGGAAAAAATCATCATATTTTCCTTAAAATTTACCCAAATTTCGGCGTCAGTTTTCTTTTGAATGGTACATCTGTCCCCGAAATCGAGTGGCAACGTGCTCTAGGGCCCTTAAGGCATCTTTCCTGCAAGTTTCAAGAATTTTAATTTTTTGGCCAAATTTGATAAAATTGCAAGGGGTTAGCCTTACATTTTGACCCAAATTTGGTCAAAAAAATGATTTTTCTTCAAATAGCCCACCTATTTCTTTGGATGCAAGAGGAGCATCAATCGATACTCAAACACCCAAAATTTTGAAGTTTTGGGCACGAATCATCGATATATTGAGGAAAAAATCATCATCTTTACCCAAAAATTTACCCAAATTTCGGCGTCAGTTTTCTTTTGAATGGCACATCTGTCCCCGAAATCGAGTGGCAACGTGCTCTAGGGCCCTTAAGGCATCTTTCCTGCAAGTTTCAAGAATTTTAATTTTTTGGCCAAATTTGATAAAATTGCAAGGGGTTAGCCTTACATTTTGTCCCAAATTTGGTCAAAAAAAATGATTTTTCTCCAAATAGCCCACCTATTTCTTTGGATGCAAGAGGAGCATCAATCGATACTCAAACACCCAAAATTTTGAAGTTTTGGGCACGAATCATCGATATATTGAGGAAAAAATCATCATCTTTACCCAAAAATTTACCCAAATTTCGGCGTCAGTTTTCTTTTGAATGGCACATCTGTCCCCGAAATCGAGTGGCAACGTGCTCTAGGGCCCTTTAGGCATCTTTCCTGCAAGTTTCAAGAATTTTAATTTTTTGGCCAAATTTGATAAAATTGCAAGGGGTTAGCCTTACATTTTGTCCCAAATTTGGTCAAAAAATGATTTTCCCCAAATAGCCCACGAATTCCTTTGGATGCAAGAGGAGCATCAATCCATACTCAAACACCCAAAATTTGAAGATTTGGGCACGAATCATCGATATATTGAGGAAAAAATCATCATATTTTCCTTAAAATTTACCCAAATTTCGGCGTCAGTTTTCTTTTGAATGGTACATCTGTCCCCGAAATCGAGTGGCAACGTGCTCTAGGGCCCTTAAGGCATCTTTCCTGCAAGTTTCAAGAATTTTAATTTTTTGGCCAAATTTGATAAAATTGCAAGGGGTTAGCCTTACATTTTGACCCAAATTTGGTCAAAAAATGATTTTTCTTCAAATAGCCCACCAATTCCTTTGGATGCAAGAGGAGCATCAATAGATACTCAAAACACCCAACATTTGAAGATTTGGGCACGAATCATCGATATATTGAGAAAAAAATCATCATATTTTTCCTAAAATTTACCCAAATTTCGGCGTCAGTTTTCTTTTGAATGGCACATCTGTCCCAAAATCAAGTTGGAACGTGCTCTAGGGCCCTTAAGGCATCTTTCCTTCAAGTTTCAAGAATTTTAATTTTTTGGCCAAATTTGATAAAATTGCAAGGGGTTGTTAGCCTTACATTTTGACCCAAATTTGGTTAAAAAAAAGATTTTTCTCCAAATAGCCAACAAATTCATTGGGATGCAAGAGGAGCATTAATCAATACTCAAACACCCAAAATTTGAAGATTTGGGCACGAATCATCGATATATTGAGAAAAATCATCATATTTTCCCTAAAATTTACCGCAATTTCGGCGTCAGTTTTCTTTTGAATGGCACATCTGTCCCAAAATCGAGTGGGAACGTGTTCTAGGGCCCTTTAGGAATCTTTCCTGCAAGTTTCAAGAATTTTCATTTTTTTTTGCCAAATTTGATAAAATTGCAAGGGATTAGCCTTACATCTTTACCCAATTTTGGCAAAAAAATTGACTTTTCTCTAAATAGCTCACGAATTCCTTTGGATGCAAGAGGAGCATCAATCGATACTCAAACACCCAACATTTTGAAGATTTGGGCACGAATCATCGATATATTGAGAAAAATCATCATATTTTCCCTAAAATTTACCCAAATTTCGGCATCAGTTTTCTTTTGAATGGCACGTCTGTCCCAAAATCGAGTGGGAACGTGCTCTAGGGCCCTTTAGGCATCTTTCCTGCAAGTTTCAAGAATTTTCATTTTTTGGCCAAATTTGATAAAATTGCAAGGGGTTAGCCTAACATTTTGACCCAAATTTGGCCAAAAAATTACTTTTCTCGAAATAGCGCAAACAATTCTTTTGCATGCAAGAGGAGCATCAATCAATACTCAATCACTCCTTATGTTGAAAATTTGAGCAAAATCATCGTAAAGTTCAAAAAGGACTTCGACCTACTACTCAATGACACTCAATCACGAAGTGACCGTCTTAAACTTTGAAGAATGCGCCTTTTATTTTTTATATACAAGAAAATACACCGAAGCAGCTTACAATATACACATTGTAAAACATCAATCACTAGGACGTGTTAAAACATTACTACCAACACGGCTTCAATTGTTACTCGGATATCTTCATGTTAGCACAATGTTGACACTGGAAACAACCTCTTCCCAGATAAAGTACAATCAGTCATTACAGAGAAAAAGGTTTTTGCCATTCGGTTGCAAGATCAAATATCTCTTTGATGTGGCCTGAATTCTTTCACGTTTTTGTTTATAGGAAAACTCGTGAATCTTCGGGAATTTAACGCTGCAGTAGACCAGTAACATTTTTTTTGGTTTTTGAACGAGAAAAACCCAAACAGATTCAATATTTTAAGAATTTAAGGTAGTAATGAAAGGTTTGCGGAAACACCATGTGCGAATAATTTCTCAACTAAGAGAATGGTTCTGAAAAGAACCATTCAGAACCATTCTCTTTAGTTGAGAAATTATTCGCACATGGTGTTTCCGCAAACCTTTCATTATTTAGTATCTCCACCATGCAAAGCCTCAAATCTTACTTAATTTAAGGTAGGTTTATGCAAATTTCATGCAACCGGAATAAAATACCAATACACATTAAAATAATATCGATTTAACTCCAAGAATGACGCTTCAGCATTTTCTTTGTTCGACTGAGGAAATTTTGAGAAAAACAGGCGTAAAAATGTAACAAGTAATAAGGACTCCTATCAACAAAAAAAATGGATCCTTTTGGCAATATTGCCTTTTTCTAAGGGAACAAAAAATGGAGAACAAAAAATTAGCAACGAGACATTTTTTTGGGTAAATACCATAAGGTATGGGGTGGCAAACTTAAAAAGGGAAAAATTTGGATAAAACTTTCAATGACTTTTTCTCTCTCGGGTCAAAATTCAACCTCTGACTGATGTACTTCGCTACACTACGTTCCTTTCCAGCACACTGTTAAGCACACGCAAGTTCTACATGCAAGTTCCAACTTTTTTATCTCACAAATTGCAGTTTATGAGGACAATCACAGACGGGCGCAAAAATCCAACGATCAACTTTTACTTGTTAGAGATTTTGTATTCAGACAATCATACATAATGTACGAATACTTTAGCTTTAGCAATTTGTGATATGTACAAAGCGTACGTATTTTTGCTACGTATATTTTATCGTTCTACGAATGTTAGTGGTGAGAGTCTAGTATCTGGAGTAACCGTGTCCGTAATCGCGCGTCTGATACCTCCAGTCCTGTTCTTTCCCCTCGCCGTAGCCTCGCGCATCTCGATCACCACGCTGTTCACCACGGTGACCCCAATCGTGACCTCTGCCCCGGCTGTTCGGATCGTTGTAATCCCGATTGTAAGCATCGTAGGGCCTGTCGCCGAAAGACTGCTGGCCGTATTCGTACTGTCTGTAATCCACGTCCTGGTTCCCGCCGTACGGGTACCGGTTGTAGTCCTCCTGGGGGTAAGCCGACACACTGGGACCGGGCTTTCCGTGATCGTAATCCCTGGTTCCCGTCCATTTCGGCTCTTCCTTCGGTGGGTATTCCTCCACTGGGGAGGTTGGCTGAGCCGGGTTGTAAGCCGGGTCCGGGTTGTACGGCTGCTCACCAAAGGGAGCACTCTGCTGTTGGCTCTGATCGTAGCTGTACGAGGCAGGGTTGTACGTTGGCGTTGTTGCGGGTGGAGTGAACTCGGGCTCGTACGTGCCCTGGAATGGTGGCGAGGGTTCTGATTCTGGTACGTTAATGATCGGGATCCTGCTAATTGGAGGCGGAGTTGGGGCGGAGATTTTTGACGATACCGAGGGAATCGCCTTGGGTTCAAATAACTTCGCCTGGATGAAATCTAGCGCCGAGCGATCCTTTTTGGTCGGTATAGGCTCTGATTTTGGTTCCACGTCTTTGGATTGAGGTTCATCTTTGGTCGGTGTGGCGCCGCCTTGGTCGTCGACGATGGCTGTGCTGGAGTCTGCTGGGGCGCGGCGAATTTGCGGCGAGCCTTGCTGATCGTCCACAGGGCCCTCTGGAACTTGGAGTTGACTCGTTGCGCCACCAACGACTGTGATAGGTTGCCTAGGGGTGGAGACAGAGCTGTGTCCGGGGCTGAAGTCGGAATCACTAGTTGCTCTGTCAATCTCAGACTGCAGCGATGCTATCTGTCGGTCTAGGAGCGCCTTCTTGGCATCCTCAACCTGTTGGGTGAGTTTGATGAGAAGTTGCTGCTGCTCCGTTAAGTCCGGTTTGGAGCTGAACGCCGTAAGTAAGTTAGCTGTGACGTCTGACGCAGCGTTTGCAATCTCGCTGGCACTCATGTTCTGCGCACTCTCCTGGAGGAGTGACGTGAGTTTGGAGGGGCTTTGCATCGACGCCTCCTTGCCGGATTCATCTCCAGATGCTTGACCTTTGGGCTTGGACACTTCACCTATGACATCCAGGACGTCGGCCGGGTCATACGGGGCTTCAATCTCTTCTTGGGTTGGCGAGTAGGGCTCGGCAGTGAGCTCCGTTGGATCCGCATTGGCGTACTGCGCGACGATCGGATCCATGAGCTGCTTCTCCGGAATGAACAGAGGTTCCTGGGATGGCCGGAAACGCTTCGGCTCGAAGCCGTGGTCTTCCGGGTTGTTCAAGAATTCCTCGGGGTCAGTCGGAGAATGCGGCATCATGCTCAGCGCATGCGTGTCGGAGAGGCGGCGTTTCTGCTGCGAGGGTTGCGGCTTGGGCTGCTGGTGAGGGTCGTGGTGGTGATGGGAGGTGCTCTGTCGAGGGGGTTGCCCCAAGCTGGCTGACCGGGCTCGGTCGCGGTGTCGCACCATCAGGCCCAGGAGCATGTGGGGACGGGGCTCTGCTAAACCTGAGGGCGGAACAGAACAAAACAGTTAGTTATGTGAATTGCAAAGAACTCCCGTCAGGTGGCAGGAATCAGCTCATGGAACTAGTTTTTTTGCATGTTGGCGTCAGGGTACAGTGATTTCAAACAGAGCATTTTAACACCACAAGTTACCAACAGGGTTCTGAGGCACGGAATCCAAGAAAATCATGCAAACCAGGTTTCAAGTTTTGGAGGAGAAGGGGGCCAACGTCACACCTCTGCTTACAGTAAGCAAGAATTCCTGCAAACTATAGCTTAAACTATGCTGTGCTCAATGTAAGCATTTTTCACAGGCTTACAAGGAATTTTGACATTAAGCCTGTCTACATCCTGTAACAGGGGATTTTATGGTAAGCACAAAATAGCGAACATATTAAGCGCAGAAACATGTAGCAGTAGTAAAGTCTGTCACGAGTCAATATGGCCCATCAGGCAGGCGTTTATCTCCAGTTTCGGTGGCATGAAACGACTGAGAATATTGTCATTCCCCCTGGATGGGATGCTAGTCCATCGCAGGTTACTCCCCAGCTAATGCCGGTACCCATTTATACTCCTGGGCGGAGAGAGGCAAGTGGGGGCTTGCCCAAGGACACAACATATCATCTGCAGCTGGATTTGAACCCCTGACCCTCTGATCACGAGTCGAGAACCCTAACCAATAGGCCACACTTCTTAACCTCATAGAATCCTGTTTTCCTTATATAATATTTCATAGTACAGTGGAACGCCTATAACGAACATTGCGGGATCCACAGAAATTGTTCGTAATAGCGATCGTTCGGTATAGCGATTTTAAGCTGCCGGTGCTCCGTACTTACTTTTTAATAAATAGCACTTCAAAACTTTACCCTGCAAGTCCTGGTAGTTACTGAAAGATGACTTTGAACATGTGTCGACTATTGAATTATGTAATTACACAGTTTTAGAGCTTACTACCTACAGCAATGGGTGGCTTTCCCCTTCTATTCCTTGGGGAAATAATAGCCACTTGTCGCTCTTCTGTTGACAATTTTTCCACAACAACGTTCGGTACATTTTGTACACAAAAATCGAGAGCCAAGGACGTTGTTGGGTAAAGCCGAATGTTTGATAAAGCGGTGTTCAGTATAGCGACGTTCCGCTGTACTTTCTAACAGAAAGAGACAGAGGTTGTACGCAGGAAATGGGGTCTCAACTCAATAAATCGAACTCACCAGGCCCTTTGAAGGGCATAATCTCCTGCGGTATCGGCTCGTGGGCCGACAGTGGCAGTATATACATGTCCTTGATGTGGTTGCGATTGTTGCCGACCACGCCGATCCGCTGGCGGCTGTGGAAATACTGGAACAGGGAGATGTAGGCCGGTTTGTCCTCCTCGTTAACGACGTGGAAGCGGAGCACGATGAGGTCCGTGTTGTTGGCCTTGCGGAGCTGCTTGAAGTAGTCCCAGACCACGGGGTACGGGATGCGGCCGCAGATGACGATGTTCTCTGGCATGTCCTGGATCGGAAGATAATATTACAGTTTATTCAGTAAGGGCCGTCTCAATTCATATCCGAGACGAATTCCGGACAAGTTGCTGACATTGTATCAGGTGTAAGTTGCAGGATTCTGAACAACTTCCCCGCAATCTGCCCGCAATGACGTCATCAGTATTGGTTAGTCAAGCAGTTGCTAATGAACATTTCAAAAGAACATGTCCGGGACAAATGCAGAGCTCCGGACAAAGTGAATGATTCTACCCACAACTTGTCCAGAACTGTCTGTCTCTGTCTTCGATTCATCGAACAATGTTGCACATGTGTGTCCTCGATTTACACCATAAACACGAACAGACACACAGAAGGAAACACTAATGCAATATCCCCTTCCAGCTTACAGCCAGGGGGATAATTAATACATAAAGACCACCTGATGCAAACTTAATCTGCTTGAGTCAACCTGAGTCGCACCTTATAGACCAATCCGGACACGCTATCAATTCTATCATGAAGGCCCCCTTCAATGGTGAAAGCATTGTGCTAGCTATTGTTCAGATAATCTGTCAAGGGGCCGTTGCTTTGTACAACAGCATGCACAATGGTTTCTCCATTGGAGGGGGCCTCGTGAGTGTACAGTGATGACATGTCTGGATTTGTCTATAGGTCTCTCTCGAAGACGGCCATCTCTGTAGGATAATTGCAACTGCGTATTTTACGCAATCAAGCATGCATTGCGCAGTGTTCAAAATGTTCCAAACACGCGCGCTTGTTGCTTGAATTGACATATCACGTTAGGATCGCGTCAGCGCAGCTTGTGAAATATTGTCAAATTACATGAATTACAAGTGGATGCGGAACGCGCAAATTCGGAGACAAACAAAACTCAATGTACAAAATCTCTGTAGGGTTGTCTAAGGGGCGTGGCTAATTCTCAAACGGTGATAGGTTAATTGTGTTCATTATACAACGCAGCCGATATGTGTTATGCAAGTTGACGCTCAAAATGTCGGTGCACGTGGTTGGTCTGTAGGAAACGACGTCATTTGAGAGAGACCTATACTTTTTGGTATGGTGCGCAACTGAACCACCAGCACTTTTACAACGCGATAGAATTTGCCTGTAACATCTTCAGTTCCCTCACTAAAATTTTGAGAATGCAATTATGGGTAGGGTGGTGGATGTGGATGTGAGCAAAGACTCACCAGGGATATCGTCCGTATGGGTCCTGAGACGTGGAACCCGGCCATGATGAACCTGGCCACTTCCTCCATGGTCAGGGAGCCATTCCAGAGGGACGGAGGCGGGCGTCGGATGGGAGGTTGCTCCTTGGGGGAGGGCGGGATGGGGCTGTTCTGGGGCGATGGCATGTCATCAGATTGGGACCTGGAAATTAAAAAAATACATATATTTGAAAAAGTATAAAACTGCTGCAAACTGTTTAGAGGGAAGATACAACATTTGCAAACATCAAAAAACGAAATGATCAAATGATCACGAAATACCTTACTAGAATGTTTGGAATGACAATCTAAAGCATCCTGTTAAAACATGGCTCCTGGTGTGCTGACATTTTCAAGAAAATTGTAATTTTCCAGCATTAGAGAAAACTGGCTTTTTTCAAAAACTGCTACTAATTTTTCATATTTAATTATGCCGCATTTTATTTGCACTTGATTACACACCTGTGAAGGGGTACAAGCCTGCTAGACCGATTCTCTGGCCATACAATTCCCCGAAGTCTATAAATTGCCCTGTTTCATCTTTAATGGGGTCAGGGAACCCGACTACAAAAACATGATTTTTTTTGGTTTTTTCAGCATCTACAAGCCCAAAACGTGAAACAAGTCATTTCAACAATATTTGCTATAACATACTAATCCTCCAAATCCATTTATTTCTGAAAATTGCATCAAAAGCAAATGTTGTACATGTACATTCCCTTTAATGACTGGATAGACCTGAATATGCAAATTTTAAAAAAAAACTACATATTTTGCATAAATTCATTTGCATAAACTTGCACGATTCAGACCAGGGGTGTGAGTGACCACTGATAAAAATAGCTGAAAACACCTGAAAAAGGTGTAAAAAAGCTGAACTTTGGAAATCTCCTATACTTTTGTACACAGCAAGTGAAGGAAAAAAACTGAAATCCAAAACAAAAAAAGCTGAAATCAGCTTTAAAGCTGAGATTTCACACCCCTGTCAGACACCAACTAAGGCAAAAAAAAAAAAGGTCTCCGGTTTCTGGTATGCGCGCGCGTCGCCGTAGCCATGCGCGTCGGCAAAATGAAAAAGTTTTTATTCAATGAAAGATGATGTCTCAAAACCGCCAAACTCACTGGTTTGACTGGAATCCTGCTGCTGCACAATTTTAACGTATTTTTAGATTGGGTTATGGTCGAGAATAAGCTTTATGTGGCCTCTCTGGACTCCCATATAGTTGCACTAAGTTTAGTTGGGCACCATTTGCAGTTATCAGCCGACATTTGAAGCAAGAAAATCAGGTAAAAAAAAAAAAAGCCAAGTCGCCGCACCACTTTTTGGGCAAGCTCCATACCAGAAACCGGAGACTTTTTTTGTTTGGCCTAAGACTCACAATGGTTCAGCATCATCCGTTTCCATGGGGCTCATCTGTCCGACAATCTCTTTCTCAAGCTCCGCCTCCTGACCTCCGACCCCAACAGGACTCCCACTAGGCCCCTCCCCCTCCTCCTCGGGCGCGGAGGCGGTCCGGGCCACTTTGGCCTTCTTGGCGGGGGCGGAGTCTTCCTCGCGGGGGGCGGGCATCTTGCCCGTGCAGATCTTGCAGTTGAGGTCGAAGAGGTGGGCGCGGTGCTGGGAGGTGGTGTCGACGAGCATGTTGTCCAGGGGGTTGGTGGCTGAGGAGACGTTCTTCTCAATGATTTTCATGTCGATGGTGGGTTTGGTTTCTTTGTCGTGAGCCTACACGATCGCCAAAAAGAAATTACAATTACACTCTAAACCAGTAAGTTCACAAGTAACAGGGGATAAACAATGACAAAGGAATTTTTTTTTTCACAATTCACTTGAGTTGCTTGGGACTTGAGTCGAGGCTCGATGACTTGTGATTGACTTGTGATTGACTTATGATTTACTCGTGCTGATTTGTGATGACTTGTGATGACTTGTGAGGATTGTGAAGGACTTCTGATTGACTTGTGATGGACTTGTGATGACTTGTGAGGACTTGTGATGGACTTGTGATTGACTTGTGATGGACTTGTGATGGACTTGTGAGGACTTGTGAGGACTTGTGAGGACTTGTGAGGACTTGTGATGACTTGTGATTGACTTGTGATGGACCTGTGATTGACTTGTGATGTACTTGTGATGACTTGTGATGACTTGTGATGGACTTGTGATGGACTTGTGATGGACTTGTGATGGACTTGTGATTGACTTGTGATGGACTTGTGACTGACCTGTGATTGACTTGTGATTGACTTGTGAGTTAACTTGAGACGGACTTGTGATTTAGTTGTGTTTTACTCATGATTTACTCGTGAATTACTAGTGAGTGACACACAAATCTTGTACCAAGGCTCTATTTTTATACATTCTCTGCAGTCACGCCACCAGACTACTAAATGGTCTGGGGGTGCAGACCTGTAAATCGACTCTCACAGACCGCAGTGATAATAACGTGTGCTTCCGAAAATTATTAAAAACACTCACAACTCTCCGAGGTGTTTGACACACCCATCAAATTAAAGCTTATTTCATCATCTTTCTTTTTCTGTTAAATTTTTGTTCAATTATCCAATGACTTTTGGGAGGAATTTCATTCAAAGATGATCACCCTGTGAAGTAGTCCTGTGGCCCATCAACATTTTGAAAAATGTTGCCTGCGCTCCGTTGCAAAAATGGAGCAATTTTAGGGCTCAATTTCATGCGAATTTCACAGACGTACGAACTCACACTCTTGTGCATGTCTTCCACCCATCTTTTTTTACAAACCTTCAAGTTCATGGTCCACAAAATGCTCCACTAGCAAAATATTTGAGGGCATACAAATTGTAATTTGGCCCACGAAGGCAATTCTGTGCCTATTGACAGGTCTACACCCCTAGCCCTTGTTGCTTGGAAACATCGCCCTCTATTGTACATGCCCAAGGGTTGGTTAGACTCACCTCCAGCGTGCTCAGGTTATCGTCGTTGATCTCCACTTCTCCCTTGTGAGTCTTCTTGGTCAGCGGCTGCGACTTTCTCTCAGCCTCCTCGTGCACGATAATCTCAAGAGACTAAACAAAATTTTAAACATTAAAATACAAAAAACAGAGGACAGCAAACCCAAACTGCAATTAGAATGTTCAGGACCAACCCAAAATTTCCCCAAATCCAATAAAGTGTAATAATAATTTTTTTTTTAGTTTTATTTTAAAATTGAAGAAAAGAATTGAAGGCAGCAGGGTTTGAACCTGCGACCTCTGGATTGCCGTTCCGGTGCTCTACCAACTGAGCTAGCCAGCCCTATGTTGATGATTCCCCATTGTGTCAATGTCTAGGTTTTATTTCAGGTAAGAACAGTTTATACTTTATGCAAAAGCAACGCAATGACAAGAATTGAAATGAAGTGTTGATGTTCATTGTTACTGTAACGATTTCAATCGGCTTTGAGATTCGCGACGTCAAGAACTTTGCTAGACTTACATGTTTAGCTTCGCGTTCCCTCCACTGCGCCAGTTCTTTGGAAGCAAGCTGCTCGGAGGACATACGCACCAGCTTGGAGGCCGGGATCCCGCCTTTCAGAATCCGACGGAATAGACCCTGTACAAGAAAGCAAAGTGTGATTTTTAAACAGGGGTCAAGAAAAAGGGCAAAAGGCGCTCCAAATTCTGCTTTTACCCTAACTACCTACTGTCTTTTACCAAGTACTGGACCAAGTCCGCCAAAAATCCATCCATCACACTGCTTCCAATGCATGCTTTGCTTTAGGCCTCCAGGCCCAAGTCCATCATGCTCCATCAATATTTAGTCAAACAAGGCCTGCAGGACTAAGCCCCCAAAATCCACCAAAATGAGGGGATGGATTTTGATGGAGTTGGGGTGGTTAGGGTAATCCTAACCCTCCTCAATCTTCCAGGCAGTTTTGGAGGATTTTGGAGGATTGAGGCTGAATGGCGAAACAATGTCGGTTGATTTTGCAGGATGCGTTGTGTCGAGTTTGTAGGCTGTACCCTGCATTGTTTATGTTCAGCCATGCATCACTGAGCCCTGCATTACACTCGATATCATCCGCACTGCTTCTGAATGTCATCGACACTGCCTCAACCCATTACAATGATTGCTGGAGGATTTTGAAGGGATTGAGGCAATGGTCACCCCTCGACTGAACAAAGTCAAGAAATAACGGATGATTTTGGAGGATTGAGACTGAATCCAATTTTTACATGGTAGCAATTGGATAATTGTGCAGGATCGAGGATGGTTCTTAGACGAAAGGGCCTAGGGAGTTAGGGGTAACAAGGATTAGATTTGGTACCTGATTTTTACTGTCTTTGATGTTGAAGAACAGACTACGATATCGTGACTTGTACTTGGAGCCAGTGTCGTTATACAGACGGTACAGCTCATACTCTATCATGTAAGCCTTCTTCTTGACTTGGTCTTCAAAGTCCTTCAAGTCTTTGGCCCCTTTCACCCTGAAAAGAATAAAAATGAAATCCAGACATAAAAAAGTTATGTAACAAAATTACAAAACAAGAATATTATAATTTCCGATACTAAAATTCCCTGTATCGGAACATGTAATAATAACAAAAAGTACAAGGATTTGTTTTAAACAATATATTCACAGAGAGACACAAGTTAATCCAGGCCTAACTCCCCCCCCCCCCCCCCCCACACACACACACACACGGACATAAATATTCTGATGAATTTGAAAACTTTTGGTCCAGAAACATTTCTGAGAAACTTTCATTTGTGTTTGTTACAGACTAAATATAATGTAAGCTTTTCTGCCATACACTGTGTGTGGGTTTATGAAATAACTAAAACTAGTTTCCTTTGTAGCTGCAACAAATTGCCAAAATTGCAGGTATTAAAATTTTCTCAAATAGTCTGGCAACACTATTAAAAAAAAAATCCTACAAATATCACAATGGGAACGACACTTCTTTGGTTGTGTACAAAGTCTATGGAAAGTCGAGTGCATTTTCAAAGTATTTTCTCACAAAATTTGAAATGTTTCTCAGTCCCAGATTCATGTCTTTTCAATATTTTTGCAATGACTGGCCTTTATTGAGATAATTTATGATGAAAACAGTTGCGTCAGGATGCAGCATTCTTTCATTACAATGTGTTTCCAAGAGATGTAACCCATTTTTTTGGCAAGAAAATATTTCATCAAAACACGTCACTTTTTGGAACAACTGGAGAACACACTCCCGACCTTAAAATATGTCACGACAAAATTGAAAATTGTTAAGATTATATCCTAATTTTTACCTGGTAGCTAGCATGTCTCGCAGCGACTCCCTCACGTTTCGCCGGACGCTCTCCTTCGCTTGTTCTTCCGTTCTCTTATTCTTCTCCGGCTGTTCCTTGGTGGGCGTCTTTTCCTTCGAAGTTGATGCCTTCTCCTTAGACGTCGAAGCTTTCTCTTTCGACGGTGTCTTGTCTTTTGTTTTCTCTCCCTCCCTACCCTGGTCTTTCTGGGGGTTTGTCTTGGGTTCTGACTTCGCGTCACGCTGTTTCTGTTCTTCTCGTTCGCGTTCGCGGACTCGCGCCTCGATCTGTTCGTCCTTCTTATCCTTTGTCTGTTTGGGTTTGGCTGTAAAGTCAAAAGTACAAAGAAATTGCGTAAGAATGAATAAAGAATGGCGAAACCCTAACCCTGCCAGACGCAACACAGTGCATCAGGTGTAAAAGTCTGTGGCACCTTGCTGCATTGAGCCATCAACACCAGTGCATCAACGGCCAATTCTGGAACAATGAGAGCTAGTCCCATTGAACAATGCCACAGTTGTATCCTGCTGCAGTTGGTGACCACAGACTCTGAAGCAGTTTGGCCTTGTGATTTTTTACCTGATGGCTCTTGCTACACTGAGCAGGCTTGTCGTTTTGACAAGCGTTACATGTTGCTGCATTTAGCAGGGTTTTTAGCCACAATGCCCTTTGGGGTTAGGGTTAATACTGCAAAATCTATTACTCGATTGATTTGTTTTTCTTTTTGTTAGTAGTCGAATGACTACATATCACACGAGTCCATAAGCTGAAATTATTACTCATTTGCATATCAGCTGGGAACCGGTTGAAGCAACTAATGACATACATTTTGGCTGGTAACCTGGGCCCAATTTCACGGCGCTGCTTAGCACAAAAATGTGCTTAGCACAAAAATAGTCTGGCTTATAAAAGCAGGTAAACAGCCAAAACTCAACGTGATGTATATTGCTCATGATCAGTATTCAGCTGTTGTTTGCTTAGCATGAAAATCACATGGAGTTTTGGCTGGTAACCTACTTTTATAAACCAGACTTTTTTTGTGCTAAGCAAATTTTTATGCTTAGCAGCGCAGTGAAATTGGCCCCAGTTTCTGCTCAGAAAAAATTTCTGAAAAAAAGCACGGAATTGCAAATTCTCAACTCACCCGAGTAGAACGCAGCGACTCCGTGCTGAGTGCCCGGCCGCAGCACCTCATACGACGGATGCCTCTCCAGGAAATCGTAGACTTGCTCCTGGATGGGCGCCGACAGCCCCGTCCGGACCTTGCCCGTGTGACGCTCCAAGACCGGGATGCGCTCAGGCTCATGCCGATGGCTGCTGGGGCTCTGGGAACCAGACCAGATCCAATAGTAGATTCAGAGGTGTTTTTTTTAGCATGGTGCCCTCGCATGAGAGACTTTTTTCTTTCCTTTGTGAATTAGTCAAACAGATTGGATGAAGTAGGCTAGTTTTACTGTACCACTTGAAGCGGTCAATAGTCGTATAAGAGCCCACCAAGCCATGGAATAGCAATGTATTGACTCTTACCACGATATTCCTGTTTACAATTAATCCCGTGGTTTCCGTCCTCCAATCCAAACCCAGTAATTTCTCCTATTTGATCAGTTGGATGAAGTAGACCAGGGGGGATAGTTTTACTATACCACTTTGACCAGGTGGGATAGTTTTACTATCCCACCCTAAGCAGTCAATATTGGTATAAAACCCCACCAAGACGTTGTATAGTAATCTCTTGACTCTTGCTTATCATGATATTTCATCCTTGACTTTGTGCCACATGCTTTCTCTTTTTCTGGTGAATCAGTCTGGTTTACTGGAGCAGATAATACATTTTTAATATACCACTCTAAACCACAACATAAGATTGTATTACACAAATATAACATGGTTTAGGAATAAACCATGTTGTATTTGTTTTATTATACCTCATACATATTTAGTTGCCTAATTTTCCCATTGCAGCATGGGTAACCCGTATGATAGTCTACTACGCATGCGTGTTTACCCTGTGCGTGAATACTCACATGCTCGCTTGGTAAACAGCAAAAATAGCATCTGGCACGTGATGGTGAATGGACCAGTGAGAATTCAGCTTTCGGTCATGAATATGTATGAGGTATAGTATTATACAAAGAATGAATGTTTTTGAGTGAAATGGTGAGAATATTTTCATAAGTTGAAAGATTGAATGTTCCATTCAATGAGGCGAAGCCGAGTTGAATGGAACATTGCATCTTTCAACGAATGAAAATATTCTCACCATTGCACGAATGCAAAACATTCATTATTTGTTTTATACAACATCCGAGTAGATCTTTGTCGTTCGATTGGAGGATAAAACTTTAAGAACAAACACAACTCACAAAATTGTATCATATTCACTGCTTTTGTTCAGCTTGTTCAAGGCTAACAAAGGTTTAAAATTCAAATCCTGACAACAATGAAATTTAACATTGTAAGTTCTTAGAACAATGCAAAACAAAACATCAAGGCAACTGCATCAACTTCAAAGGCAAGTTTTGTACTATTATAATGCATGATATGAATAATAGCGCAAAGATCGTATAGCGCCGGGCCGCTGCATGTCGTAGCGTGCGCGCGGCGTGCAATAGATCAAAAGGGATGGGATGAAAATGCAAGGTGAATGGAACCAAAAATGCACGGTTATGACGTAGGCCGTGCAATGATTCGATTAATGAATGCCGTGTGACCCACAATCCTCCAATCAAATGACAAGGATCTACTTGGGTGTTATATAAAGTAATCTACTGACTGTTGCTTACCACGATATTCCTGTTTGCCATAGACCCGGTGGAGTCCCTCCTATATTTGGAGCCCAGTGCTTTCTCCTTTTCTTGGTGGATCAGGCGGATGGACTGTCGGGCATGGCGGACGATGCAATCGTTGCCGCAGTAGATGGAGCCCGGCCTGGCCCAGTTCTGGCACCCGGGACCGATGCAATGCTGCTTGGGTGGTGGGGGCTAGAAAATAAGGTCAAAACTAGGCCTCAGGACATTTCTCTGTATTATGGTAAATACTACTTCTAGCCAGAGCTACGGAAGCTGGGGCATCACCGTGTAGTGCATGGATTCTGAAGCCATATTTGAGACGAATGAACTTTGACATGGTAGCTGCGCACAAAGGCGCATGCTGGTGCACTGAGCCTGCACTGAGTCGTCTAACATTGATCCCGGAATTTCCACATTTATCGGTGAGATTTGGCTTAAACCATGCAGTGGGATCCCCAAACAACTATTCAGAGTACATGCAAAAAATATGTTGGGAATAACTGGATGCTGCGAAACGGAGCATCAGGCCACATTCAGGCTAGCGTAAACATTTAATCCCCCAGTCCCTGTAGGACGTTGATGCAGTATTTACAAAGAAGTGTCCTGAGGGCTAGGTCAAAACAAATCCTTAACCCTTCTTGTCTTCTGCACTTCACAAACCTTTAAGTTTTGCAAAACTAGTTTAACCTTACAGTTTAGCACCCACACTTCAAATTCCTTTGAGGTAATCTTCTGTGGAGTACGGATAACACCTCAAAGCCCTGCACAATTATTTTGTGTGGTGGTTAAGATCAGGACAAGCAGGCAGATTGGGTCATGCTTCACTGCTCTCCACAGTGCTGTTTTTTGTGTGCAGTGACTCACTGTGTGACACAGTTACTTGAACACTTCATATATCCCTTCACTTGAAACTGACCTGCAGGGTTTTAAAGGGTTTTGCTCATTGCTCAGAATATTGACTTCCCACTAGCTATAGGAGGGTTAAATGTAAGCAAATAATGGGTGGGATGGGTGGCTAGTGCGTAAAGCGCTTGCCTCTCAACACGTGGCCCGGGTTCGATTCCCGGCTCGGGTCATATGTGAGTAGAGTTGTGCATTGATTCTCTCCTGTGCCAAAAGGTTTTTTCTCCGGGCCCTCCGGTTTTCCTCTCTCCACAAAAATCAAACACTTTCAATCTCTGGCTGTGCTCCGTGGTCAGACATGGGTCTTATGGTGGCTGCCTAAAGCCGGCCTCAGGTCGACCTTGCGACGACACAAATCAGTCAGCGACTGACTTTTCAGGATCAAGCTTCGCCGAGCTATGACCGTTGGGAACAACTCAGTCGCCAATTCTGTGCGACCTGAGTGTAACTGCGACGATACTAAGACGATCGGCATCAGTTGATGCTAAAAAAATCAACAGTGGCAAGAGTATAGAACAAATTCAACTTCTGCGACGTGTTCTGCAACCATCACACGATTTCTCAGTTTTGTGACCTGAGCATTATTTTTCTGCTTGATGCTGACGGTTCCATCGTGGCGCAAGCGTATCATAGGTCGACCTGAGGCCGGCTTAAGGCACCTTTACAAGCCAGCAGCTTGACCACGTTGTAGCCACATCCTTTGCAATTCAGCTTCTCAGCTGCGAGTAAGGATGATTAGCCTCCCAAATTATGAAAATGTAGTGTGCATATTGAGCATCTTCAGTTTAATACAGATAAATGGAAAAAATTATGATACAAGTCAACAACCAACCTTGTAGAACTTCAGCCTTTTCTTCTTCGTGGAGTGCGGCAGTTCCGGTGACTTGCCAGTTCCCTCCTTCTGGTCAGCTTTGCTGACCTCCGACCCTTGACCTTTGACATCCGGCCCTTGACTCTTCACCACAGCGCTGTCTTCGGGGGCTTTCTCCACGGTTGCCGTCTGAGAGGGTTTTTCGGCAGGTTTTTCTGTGGGAGCGTTGCTTGTCTCGCCTTCCTTCGCCGACTTCATCTCTCTCTTAGTGTCTCGTTTTTGTTTCTCTGTAAAAAATTAATAAAAAATTTGAAGTTGAACAAAGAAATTGACTGAAGCAGGGCTTGAACCAGCAACCTCCGGATTACCGTTCAAGTGCTCTACCAACTGAGTTATCCAGCCCTATGTTGGCGGCGCCCCAATTTGTCAATGTTTTTGTTAAAGGGCGCTAGTCAGAAGCCGTAAACCCATATATGTCATGTAGCTTTAAGTCATGATACTAGCAACATGCTGCAAACCAGGGAAATCGCAAACGGATATCACTCAAAGAAGACACGGCTTTTTTTACAAATCTTCCATAAACCACAAAGGGAAACTGACTAGGTTTGTTATTCTAATTTTTCAAAGTTGAACAAAGAAATTGATGGGGAGCGGGGCTTGAACCTATGGCCTCCAGATTGCCGTTCCGGTGCTCTAGAGAACGGGAACGACAATCCTTAAAACCTCCCGTTGGATATTGAGAGATTAGACAACGTTAAGGTTCATCTGAATAATGTGCTTGGTCACATTTTAAAGGAATATACAACATTTGCTATTCCCGTTATTTTCAGAAATGAATGGTTTTTGGGGTTAGTAGTTTATAGCAAATATTGTTTCACTGACTTTTTTAAAGTTTTGTGTTCGTAGATGCTGAAAAAACCAAGAAAATATCATGTTCCTGTAGTCTGGTTCAAAATGAGACAGAGCAATTTAATGACGTCGGGGAATTGTAAGGTCAGGTAACCAGTCCAGCTGGCTTGCCCCCGTTCATGGACATGTTAACAAAATGTGGACTGAATACGTCTAGTAAATTGGGGCAGTAAGGTAGTTGGAAAAAAGGCAGGTTTTTCCAATGCTGGTTGGCCGACCAGCGTTGGAAATTGATACAGAAATGCCTCTTTTCTTGAAAATGACAGCACATCAGGTGCCATTATTTTACAGGATGCTTTAAGACTGTCATTCACTAACAAAACCAGTAAGGTATTTCATAATAATTTGAATTTTTATTATTTTTTTTTGATCTTTGCAAATGTTTTATATTCCCTTTAACGTTCAATCACATTTTTAAAGCACAGCTCAGCAAAATATGGATTTCTGAGTCTTTCTTGGAACTCTATGCATCAAATCTTTCTGTTTCCTCACCGATGCAGACAGGGCATATCCATGGTACTTTCTCCCGATCCAGTCGCTTGCCTTCGGCCTTGGTGATGTCCACGCAGGAGCCGTGGTACCATTCCTCACAATGGTCGCAGCAAATCATAAACCTTCACGACAAATCAAAACAATTTTTGGTGAGTTTAAAAAAAAAAAAATTCATTTTTGTCGACAATTGTTTTTGGGCCCAATTCGAGGAGTTACTTAACATGAAATATTAAAGCTATAGTCCATCATTTGTAATTAGTGCATTTTGTTCGTTTGAAGCAACAAAAGTGTTCAAAATCTAATGAAGGATACTGAGCAACTAATCTGATGAAGTTTCAGCTAAGCTTCAGCTGTACATTCCGAGAAAAGCAGCATTCTAAGATCTCAATTTCAAATCAAAAGTTACTGAATCATGTTTTGAATTGTTTTGAATTGCAGCTATACGCGGCGTCGCGCACTGATCCGACGAATTATAACAACCGCGCGCGCGTGTGCGTCGTTCCAATACTTGTGCGCGCTGCGCTGAATAACAAAACGAACTACTAATTTTAATTTTCCTACGGTGCTTCTTAAGAATCACCGTTGGAAATGCCTTCTTTTGTTGATTACTTCAAAATGACAGCTTCCCAGAAAGAATAATTTTACAGGGAGTTTAGTTCCCTTACTATCTTTCAACCAAGTTTGTTTTTCAACAGTAATTACGCCAGTTACTTTTCGGATGGCTGTAAATGATGGACTATAGCTTTAAGCCTCCCTCTCTCAGTGAAATCATGGAGAGAGATACCCCATCCGTCAAAATTGTTAAACTGTTCTGTAAATTAGGCTCATATTGGTACAATTGACAGGCTGTGGTGGGTATGTTAACTGAGGGTACCATGCCTTGACTGACATTGATAGATGTGGTGGGTCAGCACTGTTAGGCCAAAATAAAGTCTTCGGTTTCTGGTATGGAGCTTGCCCCAAAAGTGGTACGGCGACGTTTTTTTTTTTTTTTTTAACCCAACTTTTTTTTCGCTTCAAATGTCGGCTGATGTTGCAGATGACGCTTTGATCCCCTTACAACTCTCAAAATATCCTTCAGAGTGCAGCTTGAGGTGACCTCAGTACCAGTAAGGTCATAATGCTTGAGAAGTATAATGAGCTAAGCAGGTTCCAGATACTCGACCATCGCTCCGTCAGTATGGCTTCCAGACAGCAAGATTACAACACCGTCTGCAAATGGTGCCCGACTAAATTTAGTGCAAAATATATGGGAGCGCAGAGAGACCACATAAAGCTTGTACTCCATCCTAACTCCATCTAAAAACACATTAAAATTGTGCAGCAGCAGGATTCCAGTCAAACCAGCGAGTTTGGCAGTTTTGAGACATCATCTTAGTACTTAGTACGTGCATGGCTATGGCGACGCGCGCGCATACCAGAAACCGGAGACTTGTTTTTTGGGACTTAGCACTGTTAGCAGGCGAAGCTGAATGAAAACCACGCCGAGTTTTGAAAAATCTCTGTAACGGTCGTCAAATTCAAAATAGTACATATATAAATGTTGTATAGATACTAGCAGCTACCTGACCTAAGATTCATCAGGAATAGTCAGAATCTTTTGGTCTGGGAACCAGACCCCAAGGTACATGCACTTGTGCATTTATTATCTACCAATTTGCACATTGTACATGTACATATACATACACATACACATACAACTTGCAACCTAGCAGTGAGGAAAATGATTAAGTTCTCCCAAGGAAAAATACCAATAATTAATTTTTTTTGGTGGATGAACTGGTAGAATAGTGGACAATGAAGTGGAGATAATTTTTCACTACTGCATTCACAACATGTTAATTAAATTTACAGCGCTCTATTCTATACAACACTAACTACAATGTACTTTGGGTCCCATATGGCCATACGTGTACTTTACAAATTAATAGATGTAAACGTGCAGTCATTTAAAAATGTTTCGCATGAAAGATATTAGATATTTAAATGGCTGTTTTAACACTGTTTATTTGAAATTTTTGCAAGAGGCTCTGAGAAAAATTGCAATAAGGTTGATTTTTAAAACAAAATGCAAGCAAAATGGCTGAGAACACGATCTATAAATATGCATAGAACGCTAAATAAAAGATTTGTATCTGTATTTTTTTTTTTTATTACCATTATTATAATTTTCATTTTTATTAACCCTTACTCTCTGAGGGTAGTTTACTGCATGTCAGTTGGTTATGCCAATGCCCTCCAGCTGCAGTTTATTGGAGGATACTTAAATGTAGCAGTGAAGGCTCCAATTGGCAGGAGTTGGAGGCCCTGGAGGGTGCCTGATACTGACCAGCTGGGGGCACTTGATTGTTATCAGAGGACTCTCATTGTTCTCTGTGGCATGTATTGGAGTGCCTGTCCAGTTACCCTTGAAATGACATGGCAGATATTGGAGGGCCATGCAAAAAACATAGGAGATTTTCTTGAGGCACATATTGGCATGCGTTGGAGGGTCTAGTAGGGTAAGGGTTAAAGGCCAAGTAAAAAAAATTAAATTGTTTCTCAACCGGCTATTTGAAAAAAAGGGAGGAGGTGGTCATTTTTTTTCCCAAGATGGCTGATCTTCCAAGATGGATTCTTCCAATTTCTTAATGCTTTTCTGATAGTTTTGCATCCAAATGAGCCGTACACTTTCTAAAAGACTCTAAACTGGCATACATATCTACAAGTTTGTTGTAAGAACATGGAGACAAGTTTTTTGCAAATCTGTGATTTTCAACAACAAAAAAGGAAGCGGCTGGAAAAAAACGGAAGCAGGCGGAAACGAGAAACTGGTTTATTTCTTTACTTGGCCTAATGGCCAACCTTTGCGAGAAAGAACATAAATTAAGTCTTCAATTGCACTGTGTATCTCATTCATGAACAATTGTCGACGTACTTTCTGACACAATCAGAAAATTTATCAGCCACAAATTCATCATTTCATTGACATATTGTCGGGTGCGTGGAAGATGGTCGTTAGGGCAAAAAAATGGGTCAAAAAGTCAAATTCAGATTTTCGGGTAATCGATAGAGCATTGAAATATCTTTCTTTTGATATACATTTTGTCTCAAAGGGCTACGTCATACTGTCGTAATTAACAGTAAACAAAATATTTAAGGAGGTTTTCCATTATTCGTTACCGGCAAAAGGTCATTAGCGTGTAATTCTAATGTAACAAAATATGTTCCAAGTGCGCTAACAACCCACTTAAATGGGTAAACAAAGCCAAGTTTGTACCCGGCAAAAGGAAGTTAGGATTTAACATGCCGCTTAAGCGCACATTTAATGCAGGGCGAGTTCACGTTTAAGGCAGATGGAGTTCCCGGTAAAAGGTCGTAAGCAGAAATAACTTCAAAATTAAGGAATATTTTAAAATAAAAATGCACAATATGAGTTGAACTATTAACGACTTTCATGAGCCCACATTTCAGCCTGATGTGGTTTTTCATTTAGAAATGGGAGCACAAAACCTTTCAACTCCATTATCTCTATAAGTGCTTTTTGCCTGCCTGGGCTGCTTACGTCCTTGTCCTTGGCACACGACAATATTTGCAATAGCTAATCATTACTGAGTTTATGTGTGAGCAGAAAACAATGCCATCAGGATAATGCATTCATTCCTAATAATATTCCAAACCAATTGTTGAGTTTTCACCTGAAATTTTATCTGAAAACACTAATGCAGTATTAAAACTACAATCTACAATTAAAAATCACCAAATATCATTCATACAAAAATGCACACCAGTACATGTGCACATACTGATGCATTGCCGTTTCAGCCAACATAAATCATACACGGTGCATGTACATTACAAAACCTACCTACCTTCAACTCCATCATAATTTAAATGTCTACAGTACATGTAGTCATACTGTCTTGCAGCCGGCAATGTCATATAATACTCTACACCCAGCATATGGTCAATTTCACTCAGTAATCACAAATGGTAATTTGGCATATCACCATAGCATCAAGCCTTGGTTATCACTGTGTCATGCATATCAACACAGCTTGTGCAAGCTACATACATGTACATGTACACTGTATGTTCAGTACATTGACAAACCACATGCACTTATATTCTCAGTTCAAATGTAATGTGTGTGTGTGTGTGTACACGTACATTTGTTCAAGGTGGGCTACTGGCAAATAAATGTGAATTTTATTCATGAGCAGTGGGCGTGTCTTCTAAGTAGACAGTGCACTTTTAATTACAGACTCTGAATTATTCATGACGCTGGGCGGGGCTTAAGAACTGCAGGATTCATCATGAATGGGCTTTAGTGTTTCTGGAAATATTTTAGAGCAATTCATTATTTTAGAGCAATTCATTACTTTGTAGCATCTAAAGAATGACTGGAGTACAATATATTTAAATATTCCTTTGTCATGATTTCTACATATTCATCAATTAATGTCTCTGTATTAAAAGCACCCTACTCTAAAATACACTTCAAATTTAAATATCTGAATTATTCATGATGGGGCTTGAGCTTGACTAGATGACAACTTGTTTTTATATGCGACGATCACACTGAATTATTCATGAGCACTTGGTAGCTGGTAAGCCCAATGGCTGAATCATCAGCTACATGAAAACCCGAAAGCTAAATATTTATGCTTTGCTTATAAATTATTCATGCTGGTCATAGAAATTGAATAAATTAACATGGGAATATAGGCTGCCCTCAAGAGCCAAAAATGACATAATCACGATCTTGAACATAGACCTGATCTGCATAGATGTAATGAAATTCACGAAAAAGGACACACAATTTGCCTGCTTTATTCTTGACAAAACAATTCATCCAAGCAATAAAAAAAAAAATTGTACATAAAAGTAGTTTTAAATTTTGACCTTTTTTTAAGCTCATTACAAGAACACTCCATGGTATATGACGGTGAATTTCAAAATGAACCCTTTTAATAAGGTAACGCCCGAAACGGCCCAAACACTCTGTGGTTGTATTGATTTTTCAGTGATTAAACACAATGTAATACAATTTAGTTCATTTGCAAATTACGTGTACATGTACGTTAGATTTTCATTTTAAAAATGACCGAATTTGAAACTCAATCCGCAAAAAACACGTGGCATACAATTTAAACAACTGTTTTTAATAACAGAACACCACATACTTGCAAAGATGTACGTAATTCTTTTAGGCCAAACAAAAAAAGGCTTCGGTTTCTGGTCTGCGCACCCGTTGCCGTAGCCATGCGCGTCGGCAAAATTTTAAAAAAAAATTTCAATGTAAGATGATGTCTCAAAACCGCCAAACTCACTGGTTCGACTGGAATCCTGCTACTGCACAATTTTATCGTGTTAGTAGATGGGGTTACGATCGGGTATAAGCTTTATGTGGCCTCTCTCGGCTCCCATACGTTTTGCACTAAATTTAGTCGGGCACCATTTGCAGTCATCAGCCGACATTTGAAGAAAAAAGAAAAAAAGCGCGTCGCCTCACCACTTTTGGGGGCAAGCTCCATACCAGAAACCGAAGACTTTTTTTTTTAGTCTTAGTTTAGGGCATTGAGAATGATTTTAACAATAAGAGACAATCTTGAGGAAAATAGAAGCTCTTTGTGGAAACGTCACTCGTCAGACCAAAACATCATCTGTTACTGACGACAGTTCAAAGTGCGTTGCCGGTTTAACACGTCAGCCGATCCCAGCAATCTTGTTGGTCCTGTGGTTGCGACGCCTGAACTTGCAAAACGTTGGTCTTGGGTTCGAGTCCCACCAGAACCTGTGAAACTCTAAACCTGCCCTCCCAAAACCCCTCTGTGGTGTTGCATGATACCGTGCTGTAGTACTCGTACTAGTACTCGAGTAAATTTTTTAGTACTTAGAATCATACTCATACAAATTTTTTAGTACTTGGAATCATACTTGTCGTAGTTTGTGACAAATTACCTGTAATGATAGTTATGATACTTCAAAACTGAGAAGTGCGAATCTTTCCTTACAAGGATAAAACTTACCTGTTGTCGTGTGGCTTGCGACAGATGCACCACAGCTTCTCTGGATCATCACCGCTGGTCCAGTCACTGTCATTGTCCATGTCCTCTCCAGCGTTATCCGATGACAGCTCGCCTTCTTCTAGATCTATAAATAAATAAAAAGAAGTAAAAACAGATGAAATAAGGGTAGAGAAATTGATCCCACACTTATATTATGTTAATGCCTATGTTGTCTAATCTGTGAGTCCGTTTCAAACTAGAAAATTTATCTTACCTTGATTTCTCGATTCACCCAAAGACTTTGATCTGTCCCTTACTCTTCTCTCCAAGGTGCGGCTTTTCGGCTCCCCTTCGCCACCAAGCTTGATGAAGACAGCGTTATCCGGCGTGAAGAGGGAAGGCCCTTGTTCGGATGTGGATCCTGAACGTCGCCTCTCGTAGGTGTGATCTGACCTGGATTGTTGGCCCTCCTCACTCCGCCTGCGAGCGTCTTTCTTATTGGCATCTCCTGACTTGGGAGCACCCTTTTCTGCATCTTTTTTAGGGCCTTCTTGAATCAGTTGATGGCCTTCTTTGAGAGGTTGGGCATGCCTCTTGCTCTTCAGCTCTTGTTGGATTTCCTTCAGGGACTTTCCGCCGTCCTCGAGATCAGAGTCAGTCTCCTGTTCTTTGCTCTGCTTCCGTTTGCGGTAGGTTCGTTTCCGTCTGGTGTCATGTCTTCCTTTTGAACTTTCTGACGATCCCAAGGTTTCCTTATCTTGTTCATATCCATCTTCAGATTCCTCTTCCTGAGGTTTCTCTTTCTCCTCTTTGTCCTTGGCTTTAGATCTTTGGCTCTTCCTTGTCCCTTTCACATGTTTTGTCTCAGAGACCTTCTCTTCAAGATCTTTCTTTGCATCCTTATTGGCGTCTTCTTTCTTAACCTCATCCTGTTTCGGACCGCCTTTCCCAACCTCCTCTTTCACCTGTGTCTCTTGAGATGCTTCAACTTTTGGCTCTTCTGTCTTCTTGTGTCTCTCGCTGCGTCTCAGCGGCACGGCCTTCTCAGAGCTGCCCTGCTTCCTCCTGCCGCCTCCGCGTCCTTTCTGTTTGATGCCTTCCCCGGCCGAAGTGTCACCATCGCTGGTGGTCACAACGGCTGTGGCAGCCACCCTGCCATCCAGACACTCGTTCTTGATGACCCCTTCCAAGAGTTCAGAGTTCATGACCTCTTCGAGGAGTTGCCGCGTCTCTAGACTCTCACCAGAAAGGTCTAGGACCCCAGGGATGTCCAATTTGAGAGAATCAGCTGTATCAAAGAAATCATAATAATGAAGATCAGCATTATTAAACCTTTAAGCAATATTTACATGAACTTTTCCTTAAGAATTTGATAATTTGACCTGCTCCCAATGAGAGTGAAGGTGTAACTTGCAATCTCCCATCTGACAAACATTTCTCTAAACTAAAGCAAGATTTCACTCAAATTAAAGCCTGATTCCTGTGAATTTCAACTTCTTCTTTGTAGGGTTCCAATCGCACAAACTCTTTGCAAATGGACCGTTCCAGATTTGGCTATGGGCTTCGTGCACAAGTACTTCCTCATCGGTGAGAAAGGGGGAGTTGGGAGAGACCACGGGGAGAGACATTTGAACACACCACTGATGGCGCCTGACGCTCACGCGAAAACACTATGGCTTTGTGGACAATCAGAATAAAATAAGTCATTCGTCCTTTGCGTTATACGCGCCTGAATCAGTACGCACATGTGTGGTGTCCTGTCAACAGGGCTTTCAAAAGTTTGCGCACAGAGCACGTAATCCACTCCAGACATATGCAACAACAGGTGCGTCTTCCTATGCTAAACTGCATGTTGCGCCGTGCGCGTTGTGTGTCAAGTGCACGTATGTCGGACTTTAGTCAGATATTGGTTGTGCACTCATGACTTTGATTGGTGAAAACGTCACAGGGTGGGGCTTTAACAGGATGAGGTTTAATGGGGCGGGGCTTAATGGGACAGGATGTAATGGGGCGGGGTGTAATGGAGCGGGCATAATGGGCGGGGCTTAATTGGGTGGGACTTGATGGGGCGGGGCTCAATGGGCCGGCGTGTAATGGGGCAGGGCTTAATGGGGCGGGGCTTAATGGGGTGGGTAGTAATTGGGCGGGGATTAATGCGGCGGGGTGTAATGGGGTGGGGTAGGGTGGGGCTTAATAGGGCGGGGCTGTAATGGGGCGGGGATTAGTGGTGGGATTAAGGGGGCTAGGATTAACAAATCAGTCAATTTTTTCTTACTGGACGCATTCATAAGAATCTGCTCGTCAAACTGATCGTTTTCACTCAGCATGGGGTTGCCCTCGCTGACGAACCGATCCAAACTGTCGCAGCTGCCGACGTTGACCATTCTGCTGGGGAAACTATCCTGGCTCTCCGTCTTCACCGGTGCCCTGCCATCCATGGAATCCTCCCTGGATAGTGCAGACACGTGGGTGCCGGCCTTGGGCTCGGGCTGGGGAGCTTCGACCAAGAGTGCCTGGTCGATTATGTGGAATTGGTCTTCCGTGAGGAGGGAAGCGGCGCTGGGAATATTGTACAAACTGGCATCTTCTTTGCTCTGAAAGGAAAAAAAACAATTCAAGCAAAATCTTGCTACCAAATTGAAATACAGTCACAATGTGTTGTACATGTATGCACATGGATTATCAAGATTATCCTTATATGCTTAATACAAAATTCAGTAATTACACTTTAACCCTCCTATGCAAACATACATTCTGTGCAAAGTTGTCCTTTCAGTCAGAATCAGTCGAGTGACTGTTTTTAACAGTTGAGTGGGCCCCTTCCTATGTACATAAAGCAGGATTGACTGGCTGTGACTGTAAACTTGATACAGCAATGCTTTGACTGTAGGTGATTGATAAGCCAGCTGTGCCTACCATTTGCCTGCTTGTGTCTGGTGATTGAATTTGACTAGTCACAGCGCTTGCTTGAAATATGATCTGACTGTTGGTGACTAGCCTGTGTAAAAGGCATGGCAGGGGAAGATGATTGATTTTTTTTTTTAACTGTCTGTGACTCTTCAGACTGTAGGAGGTTTATTAATGATCCAAATACATGTATGTTTTCAAACCCAATACCTACCTAACTCTAAATTTACTTGAAGGATAAACATCATAATGGAAGATAGTGCTTCTATAGCAAAGAAATGGAACACTACTTTCGCTACATCTTCAAATTAACTTAGTTAAAGAATATGGGATAGCTTGGGCTAGACAAATCAAACATATAACAAACAACGAGTAAAATGACGCTGCAGGGAAAGCGTAAACAAGGGAAATGAACCATAAACTTCAGCTACATGTAAGACATATCGAAACAACAAAACATGATTCGGGCGTAACTTTGACACAAACGATGAACAGAGAATACCTAAAATTAATCACTAAAATTTGATAACATGAATAATAACCCTAGAGGTATTTTCCCTATTTCACTAGAGGCATTTTTGCTACATATAAGATGTAACCTCGATCCTGCAAAATCCTCCAACTACCCCCATGTAAAAATAGCATACAGCCTCAATCCTCCAAAATCCTCCATTATTTCTTGATTGTGGTCCTTGGAGGGGCGACCACTGCCTCAATCCTACAAAATCCTCCAGCAATCACTTTCAACAAATCCAGTGACATCCTGGAGCAGTGCGGAGGATTTCAAGTATAATATAGGCCTAACTTTATGCACTGCTGAGTGTGTATAGCCTCAATCCTCAATCCTGCAACATCCTCTGTTTTTCAAACAGGATTTGGAGGATTTGGGAAGGTTAGGGTTAATAGACGTAGGATAAAAACACTGCAAAAACTGCAATTCACTCATTAAAATTGGTATCTGCCTAAACGATCTTTTGACAAAAGAATTCCACTCTTTAAATCTTTCGAAGGAAAATGTTACAAATACTCCCGTTTGGCTAATACTGATCTACAGAGAAGAAACAGCGGCATAAAAATGAGTAAAAGATTAGCAAGCACACTGCAAAGGCAGATTAGCAAGAACATTGCAAAACGCAAACCAAACTCAAAACAACAGAAACAACAAAAAAATTAACTATCGGCACGAACCATCCCACTAGCAATATCCATGCAAGCGGCGTCATAAGTTATGTCGCTTGCGGCGCAACCATGACCGGCCAGCAGGCCTGGGCTCAAATGGGGGTAAGGGAAGCCCATTACCTCCCCCTCTGTTTCTCCATCCGTGGCCGTCAGGTTCCAGAGAGGGCTGCCCGTGGACAGACGCTGGACGACCACGTTGGCTGATTCGCTGATGACGCCCGAGGTTGAGGCCTCTGTCACTGCTTGGTCCTTGTCCATGGTTCAGGATGGCCAATTCCTGGAAAACGACAGTAATTTTCTAATATCTGCTCTTTCAAACCAGAATAACAATCATAACGTACATGTGCTACTGTAATTGCAGAAAACAAACGTGTCCTACTTTTGATCCTGAATAACTCCAATGGAATTAAACCAAAATTTCAGATCATATAAACAACTCATGTAAAATTTGATGGAGCGAGTTTCATCAGCTTTGTGCAAGAGGGTGAGATTTAAATGCCATGTGAATAAATGCTCACTTTCAGAATGTTGAATACAGCACTGGAGACGGTGGCGGAAGGCGCATGCTGCAGCCGAAGGCTTCTGAAAGAATGCAGGATCACCCCTGATGTCGTTGCACACATTGATCGTGTGTTGCGCCAAACGATCAAGGAGGTGTGCAATGACATCAGGGGTGATCCTGCATTCCTTCAGAAGCGTTCGGCTGCAGCATGCGCCTACTACCACCGTCTCCGGCGCTGTATCGACATTGCAGGATGCCAAGTTGAAAGTGGCAGATGCTGAAAGTGAGTTTTTTGTTCGTATGGCATTTAAATCTCACCCTCTTGCACAAAGCTGATGAAACTCGCTCCATAAAATTTGTCATAGCGTTTATCGGTATGGGCTCTGCCGGGAAAACCGTGTGGACGCGGTCCACATGTCGTATTTGTAATTGTAGCAGAGTCCTCGCCAATAAACGGTACATTTCAGTTGGACGGGCAGTTGTGAATCTGATATACCATGTACGGTAATCCTTACTTTTAGGACACCTCTATTTTGTACGAGTTCTGTTCAAAACTGACTTTTGCAGATGACTGTCCAGTACCAAAGTGACTTTTGCAGGCTAAAGCAGTCTTTTTTTCTTCAAACTCATGTTAGTTGTAATTTTGAAAGCACTAAAATTAAAGAAAATGTGACTAAATTCTACCTTTTTTTTGCAGTTCACCATCTTGCTTTTTTAATATATTTTCTGTTTGTCATCGTCGTCTTTTACCCCTCATAAATCAAAGCCCTGCCCTCTTTCTACAAAATTAAACCTGCTGATATTCAAGAAGTGTCATTGCCAAATGTTCAAATGTGCCAAGAAATATCAGAATGTCACTTTTGATTGTCATTTAGTCAGCTGTTTTGGTGAGTCTTTAACCTTATATAGGAAAGGGGTCCTAAAGGTAAGGATTACCCAACATGCCCAATGTACATTAGCATTGTGGTTTTTACAATGCTGTTACGATCATATTTGAAAATTGCGCTACGGCGGTCGTAACGACAGCCACTAGGCCTACATTAATGATTAAAAACTATTCACAAACATGACATTGACAAATAAAACAGTAATTTCAGCCCCTAAATCTCTGGCTCAGAACTTTTCTTTAAGTTTTACATGTTTAAAATCTACATCAAAAACGTAAAGTTGATACGAGGGAAATCTGCACAAAATTGAAAATGTTTGAGTACGTGAAAGAGAGAACGGATCATTTGCAACTTCCAAGCGCAAACTTTCGTACGCACTTCGTGGGATCACCGCTACGTTGGGCCCGGGCACGAGCGAGTCTCGCGCGCTTGATAAACCCTCTGCACGTAATAACAGTTTACACTCCGGCGAGTTTTGTAAACATGGAAAATACAAAAGTAAAACCTCGAGGTCTATACAAATTAGATAGAATACCCACTGAAACGAAGTTCAAATCTTACCCTGATTATATCTGTACGTTTTAATGCAAATCCAACTTCCTGAACTGACTCTGCAGCTGTGTTAGAAACGAAGTACTGACGGAGAACTTCGCAGAAAATTTTCCCAGGTCAGAATTTCGGCCATGTTTATTTAGTCACGTGGTACGTCTGTAGCTAGCTGTCCGTCTGTCGTGTTTTGCTTTTTCTTGAGGGCGCTAGAACAAATTAGTGGTGACTGCCGGTGGCGCCAGGGATAGAGAGATGGGAAAAGTTTTTATTTGTGCAAAGACGATACGCGCATGTTTATTATGCACCTAAATAAAACAATAATCTTAATATATTCAAATTGTAAAAGTAAGGAGGGCCTTCCTACCAAATATAACTATGAATAGTCATTTTTTGGTTTTGCAAACAAAGCGCTACAGGGTGAGGGAAAAAACCCCGAACCCAAACCCCCAAAATTATATTTCATATTAAAGAATATATATAGCGCCAAAAAAATGATGACTGGAAAGTCAATTTCACAAGCTACTTTTATATGAAAAAAATACTGAAATTGCTCAACCCTTTCAAAGAATATCACCATTTAAACACAATGACCCTAAAACCTCTTTCGTCCAAAAATGCGATTTTATGATCGTCGTCACAGTAATATGACGACGATCAGAGCCAGAGTACACAATAACAGTCAGAGAACACAATAAATTGAATTTTTTTTAGGAAACAGGTTTTAGGCCATTGCGTTTAAATGGTGATATTCTTTGAACGGATTGAGCAATTTCAGTACTTTTTACATCTAAAAGTAGCTAAGAAATTGGCTTTCCAGTCATTATTGTTTGTGGTGCTTGATAATTTTTTTAATTATGAAATATAATTTTTGATGTTTGGTTTCCGCTTTTTTGACTCACCCTGTAGAAACCGGAAATGACAGGTCAATCCCCCACCCCACGGACATGAAAGGCACTTGCAATTTACGGGGACACATTTACCCGAGGGACACGTTATGTGGTATCACCTGTTATCCACGGGGCCTAGTCGTCTGTCTCTTGTCTTTGCCATGGTCTCTGTTACCTTATTATTTGGTAGGGGGACAGAATAACATGGAGGAAACAGAATTACCCAGGAAAAATCTGTCCCCGGACCGGGGGGGGGGGGGGGCAGCATTACCTTTTACATCATCGCCTTCTTGGCAATTTTAAGCAGTCACAGACAAAAACAATGAGTTTTGTTTGCGTCAATATGGTTATTTTAATATAGTGATAAATAAATGAAGATTGTAAGCTGCTGTCTCAAATTAGTACTTGAACAAAGACATTTACAAAATGGGCCAGGACTGCCAAAACAAAGCCCAAGGCTGGATAGCTCAGTTGGTAGAGCACTGGAACGACAATCTGGAGGTCGCAGGTTCAAAACCCGCCCCAGAGCCTCCAGTCAATTTCTTTATTCAACTTTTAAAATTAAAATTAGTACTACTTAAAAAAAAATGAAAAAGAAAGAAACTCCGAGGAGGTATAAAGTAGAAACATAGACAGAACGTTGTCCAAGCCGGGGCGAGCCGCGGCAGAAAAATGGGAGAGTACAGAATGTTTTTGAGGAACTCTAAATAATTAATCATCATTTTGGTTGCAATGGCATGTATAAATGACCCCAATTTCTCTTCATAACATAGCATTAGTCATGCCCTTTTCGACTCTTTCATAGCAAATCAAATGAGTTTGCAAAGCCATTGCGGTACATGTTGTCTTATTATGTAGTATTCAATAATATAAGAATGATAAGAATGTAGAGGCGGAGTTTAAGAATATAATATTATAGCTTTGGCGTATAGCAGATAATAAATGCATGATAATAAATAACATTATATACAGTATCATGGTGACAGCATTGTCAGATCTTTCAAATAACGCCCTCTGTTGACAATTACAAACGAAGGGAGAAAAAGTGGGAATTTGAAAGGGGACCAACCTCGTTGTTCAAAGAAACAAAAGCGAGTTCATGACAACAGAGGGCGATGTTCAAATGACATTGTAACAATACTTAATTACTGGTGTCACTATGAACCACTGACCAACTTTTTAGCCTTTGAAAGACCCAGCTAAGTCTACGTTTGATAATCAGAATAAAATATGTAATATCAATGAACGAACTACAGTATTTTTATATGGGCAAAAATACATCAAGCGAAGCACGTGACCACCGAGGTGCATTGCGCATGCGACGATTGGTGCGATTGTTTCATACACCTTTCTTTTGTTTGTAAACTTGTTGCTTTTTATATGGGCTGCCACACAAGCGCATCAACTGAAGCCTGGTTGACAACATTTTTTTTCAAAAAAAGTCCTCATACAACGCCCTCAATACACAGTAAAAATTGTGTAAGGAATTATGTTTGTTGACAGTGTTGTATTTCCAATAATCATGGTTTTCTGTAAAAACTCTTCTTCATTTTTGCAGTGTTGGACCTTCCATAGTTTTGCAACCCGTGGTTGGCAAAATGTGCAGTTTGCCAACCAAGCGTAGAAAGGTTTATGTCATCGCAACCGCTTTCCCATCGACGTTCAAGATGCACGGCACCACTGTTTGAGCTAGAGGTTGAAATGAAATACACCCTGGGATGTCCGACTTGGAGGAATAATTGGTGGAGAGCTTTGATGACGTCATATGCAGTCAACTTCGTCACTGTTGTCTCTACAGTCCTTGAAACCGTTGCACAAATTATCAACAGGAATACAATCTCCATTATCGCAGGGAACCACTCCTGAGCCTGCACACAAATCTGTATTGATGAAGAGACAGATTGAATTTAAATTTCCAGTAATAGACTCTCCTGCGGACGATGCACTGTACAGGGTGAGTCACGAAAAAATCCCGAAACCCAAATGTCGGGACTATTGTTTAATTGAAGTTCTGAATGTAGCAGTTTGGAAATCTAGGATATGAAAGCCCAATTCATAAGCTTCTTTGAGTACAAGAATCATTCAAATCACTCATGTACTTTTCAAGTTACGGAATTTTAACATTTCATGGGGGGGGGGGGGGCGTCATGTAGATCAATGATAATTTTTTTTAGAAACTCAAAATCTCAGTGGGGGGCGGGGGGGGGGGGGGCGACAAGGTTTCATGGGGGGGGGGCTGTCCCCCCCCCCCCCACGCCCCCACGTGGCTACGCCACTGGCTGGTTTGTCCAGGCCCGCTTTTCTGGGGCACAACTGTACTTATGTAAAGCACTAAAATCCCGGATAAAAGTTATTTTAAAATTAGTTATTTCTCAAAAAGTGAAACATCCATAACGTTTTTACCTGGTGCCATCGTGGTCGGCGACACACTCTGCTCTGACAACGACAATGCCACAGTCATAGCCACGACAGCGACAAAGATGACAATCCCAATGACGGAGAATATGCAAAGTAGGCGGCTGAACCTCTTGTCACGTGACTGGCGCGTCTCCGGGTAGACGCCGGCCGGTCCCTCAGGCATATTGATGTCAGCGTTGCTACGACTACGGAGGGAGTGTTACCATGACAATGGAGACAAGCCTCCACTATGACATCTGATTACAAAGTTCGGATAAGGACTTCAATAGTATGCTCACCCTGTGCTGGAAAGGGAATGACAAGTGATCGCTCAAGATTTAAAATAACCCCCAACAAATCCTACTGGGACTACGTAAGCGTGTACGAATCCATTCTAATTCAGATTTTGTATAACTCCGGAAGTTAAGAAGAAAGAAAGGAATGTAAATTCGACAACAGGCTCGGCAATACTATTTCAAGTTTCACGGGCTATTTAACACCACACGACCGGATTATTAATAGGGAGGTTTAGCCGCGTGTAATATGTGGACTGAAGGCTAAACCCATATGCATAATATGGGCGAAATGCCCGGCGGCCCGTTCTAAGGTTAGGGGAGGGGTCTATCTCTTCCCCAGTGCTTACTTCATTTCCAACCTCGGCTGGTGGGCGCGTACTGCTCAACACCCTGCGGACGAGGTTGGGGGAGGGGTGGCAATTCAAAATGAGGACAACAATGCGGATTCTCCTAAGCAACGCATGCGTCCATGGAGCTCCATCGTAAATCTAGAGAATTCTTGAGAAATCGTGTTTGTACAGATGTGCAAGGCAAGTTGCTGTACGAGAAACAACACCAACAAAATTGGTCTTAATGAATCGTCACAAGCCCACACACAGTGTATCAAATTATACTTTCTTTAATGTTTTACAAATCACGATGCCTACCGTACCATTAAAATGCAACCATATGTTCCGTCACTGTAAAGTTTATCATAACGTGACATGTAAAAGGCCGCTTTGACAAACAAACTATTTTTGAGATTCCGAAATCGTGACACGTACTATACGCGCAACTATTATGGTCAGTTTTTGTAGGTTATTACAACTGATAATGTAGTAACCAACGAATAATGCACCACCAACCGATGTCACATGCCGATAGTGTATCACTTACACTAACTGATAAAGTATCACAAAATAATTGACCGATCAGTCAATTGTTGTTACATTATCAGTCCTAACCGATAACGTAACAATTGGCTGATAGTGTAGTAATTTGTACTACAGTATCCGTCCTTTGTTGTTGCATTATCGGTTAGTGATACAGTATCGGTCAATTTGTGTGACATTATCGGTTGGTGATACGTTATCAGTTGGTTACTACATTATCAATTGTAACATAGGTCCAAGTTTGCGTAGGCCCTGCAGATCAGTGTATATACTGTCAGTCATTTGCTGACTAACATGAAATACATCACGAAGACCTATAAAATACATTAATAAATATGACCTACCTTATGCGTCCCTGTGGCACTTTGGATGGGCGTGTTACCATTCTATAACTTCCATATCCACTAATGATACTTAATACATGTATTTGCTGCTTCACAATAACCTACCTAACTGTACAATAACCGCATTATACTCTGGAGGTTGGTGCTCGACTTACAAAAAGGAAAAAGCCAAAATACACAAAAAAAACAGCAAAAACAACAGGAAAAGACTTTTGAATACCGTCAACACGTACAGTGTTCACCGTAGCAAGTTGAGTTTCTAAAAGCGTATCAATCATATATTAACTGAAAAACTTTCTCTGCATTTCGACGATCAAAAGTACTCGCGTATTCGCACTATAGACTATGAAGTGTTTACGTTCTGACGAGTAAAAATAGATTTCTATAGTATTCATTCTTTACGATAAAAATCCTTGAATGAAGTATATTCAGCAATACAATGGTAACATTTAACAATATAGTTGAACAGATTCTATACTGATTGAACAATACCTTATCAAAGTAGTTATGAGACGATAAAAGCGCCTAATTTTCTCTAGAAGGAAACGCAGAACTTAAAAGCACTCAGCCAATATAGCCTTCATTAGGTTTGCTTTCGATGTAGCCGGTGTTGTGGAAACTTTTGACCCCGCAAAAAGGCTCTCGTGCCTGACCTCATGCGCAAGTCTAAAAAAGCATGGTATACATGCATGGGTGCCTTGCCGTACTGTGGAGTGCCAAATTTAACATGACACCATCATGTCTGGCACATGAAAGACTACTTGGAATAGAAGAAAATACCGGTTGTTGAAAATAACACATGGGAGTTTTTATGAATTTCCCTTTCAAGGTTAGCCTGCTGTTATGTTTACTATAGCATTTTTTTCGATCTAAATTTCCTGATAGAATATATAGTTCATGCTTTGTGCAGCCATGGAGGAACAACCGAGCCCAACCCCCCTGAAGTACATGTTCCTTTATTCTCAAAGCAGTATCCAGCTGATTTTCACAACTTTGTGTAATAAAAACAGGCATGGCTATTTACAATGAATTCTGAACGCCACAGCACGTACGAGCTGTTGATTTTGATGCAATTGAACCCCGTTTAGTTATTTCCTGCAAATGCAGAGTCAACGTTGAGGGCGTCATCTGCATGTTTTATTATTTTGAACGGCGCCACCACTAGTACATACACCTAAACATAATAATGTAATAAAAATAATATGCATGCTATCTAAAACAGTGGCAAAACCCTTTTTTGTGTTTTCTTTTAAGAGCGGCGTCATTTCCACTCTTTTATGTCCATTCTGTTGTCACTTGATATTTGAGGGCGCTGTTGCTGTGACGTCACTGGCTTATTACAACTCGTAGAGGGCGAGTTCAAAGAGTTCGCCCGAGTCGTCTTGGTCCTGTTGCAGCATGAGGGGCATCTTCGTCTTGTCTTTCTCGTCAATCGATGGACTCTTTTGGCAGAGTTTCCAGGGATCCCTCCTCCTTCAAAGCAACAGATTAAAACAGTTGCTTTTTGGTTTACTTGAATACATGTATATAAAATTGATGATGATGATGTTATCAAGTTCCATTGTTGTAGTCGAGGATTTTTTTCCGAGTACCGAGTACTGCCGAGTACTTAAGTTACCGAGTACGAGTACTTCTGAGTACAAGTTCAGGTCTCCGAGTATACGAGTTCGAGTACGAATACTTGTATGCCGAGTAAGAGTACGCGTACTGCTTTTTCTGAATACGGCCATATACGGCAAATGGTTCATTGTGCATAATTGGCCCAGTCCCAGTCAGACCGTTATGCAGACCCACTCACAGCTAGCTGTTAAATTGTGATCGGACGTGCACAGAGAAGAATCCGGAAACTTTGATTTCTCTGCAAACAATCAACCATTTCCAACTGAAAGTATCGATAATAAAATGAGGCCGTAGTTAGTCCAGCTATACCATTTTTTTTTCGAGTACTGTTATGTCGAGTACGAGTACTTTGCTGCCCGAGTACGAGTACCGCCGTTTCGAGTACGAATACTTTGACATTCGAGTACGAGTACGAGTCCTCTAAAAAAGTACTCGAGTAGTACTCGAGTATGAGTACCGAGAACGAGTACTACAACACGGATGTCAAGTTCACATTTTATTCCTATGTGCCATCGGTACCGGGTGGGCATAATGTCTATAAAACTGCTGATGGATCGCTTTTGATAATTTGAGTAATTTTTTGTAAAGTTGGGACTTTCAACCGATTCGTTTTGTTAAGTTTGGTTTGGAAGCCAAAGAAGGTATTCTTGTCGGCCGAACTATAAAGGAATCCATCCAACCAAATGACACCGTAAGACCTTGAAGTTATAAGCATTCCAAATAGTCAAAAAACCATTTCTGGAATTGTATTGATTGAACAAAAATAACCAGCGTGTACAATGACTTATTGTGCACATGACTTAAAGTTGGTATACATGTGCTTTTTCAATATTTCGATTTTCTTTTCCGAACGAAATTTAAAGAAATATAATGTCCTGTAACCACTAAATTTGCTTGTTTGTTTTTGCAGGCCTTTAATACAGTTATAAAACTTGGTTTTAAATGGCGCGCTCCAGTTCAGAAATTGCGCACACTATTTAGAACGAATTAGGAGCGTCCCGCTCTTAATTCAAAAGTTGAAATCAATTTATTGATAACTTGTCGTACGCTATTTTTTTCGTGCGATGTCTCATTGGAAGCCTCATAACTATGTTAAACAATTATAAATTCAATTTGAAAAACTATTTTTTAAGGTGCCACACCCAAAAATCACGTATACACCAACTTTAATAAGTATTCAAATAGTTTGTAAAAAGTTGTCGGAATTGTATTAATAAAATAAAACACAGCGTGTACAGTGAGTTATTTTGTCTGACTTAATGTGTTTTCTCACCCTTTTCCGCATTGGTACTCCCATGCGAACGTTGACGCGACAAAAGCAGCCGTCATAAAAATACACACGGCAAAAATAGTCGCAGTGGCGTCGAAGTCGTAGCGGTCGATTAGGACGCCCCCTAGCGTTGACCCCACGAAGGAGCTGTGAAAATATGAAAAGGCTAATGCCCTTTTTATCGCGCACATGTGTATTTACACTCATTAATTTGGGCGTGAAAGGTATATTTGACTGTTTCACAAAAAATCTAGTTGGTGCTAAAAATCGCTTTCGCCTGTATACAATCTTGCAAAAATATCAAAAATAAATTTGTATTTTATTTTGAAAGTGCCTGAAGTGTTGATTTCGTTTTTAGGATTAAAATGTAGAATGGAATTATGTTTGTTTTTACTTCTTTTCCATGTTTCTATACTAACTCCTCATCGTTTCATCTTTCAGTTCAAAGATTGCTTTATCAATGTTGCTGCACTGCTGATCGTATGTATAGTTGATGTTATTGTTGTTGTTGTTGTTTACACAAACCATTGTTTACACTAACCCCAAATGAAAGCAGCTGAGAAATATTCCCGATGCCATTCCATAAACCACTGGCCCGTCGTCTAGTCCATACCACCTAAAAAGTAAAGGACACAAAAAAAAAAAACAAGCGCGAATACACAATAAGCTCTGGCCGTGTTGCAAGAAGTCTTGCATGAAAGTCTTGCACGAAAATTATCCCAAAATTATCCCTGCCAGAGCTTACAAATGCGACGCCGAAAAATGCGACGCCGATGGCACATATGGAACACCATACCTTTGGTCAATTTTTGGGGACAGACAGAAAGACAGCCCGCCCGCCCGACAGACTGATCGACCGACCACCAAGTGACATGTAGAAGCTCCTGCCATCAGAGCTTAAAAACTCAATTAACAAGCGACAATAGAAATAACTGCAGAAACTACTTCCTTGAAATAGATTGCTTGCATTCAACGGCCATCTTTGAGGTGTGTTTTGTTATGTTAATTCATGAACAATGAATGTACCATAGTCTGCCCATGCGCATCCCTGTTGAACAAAAGCACATGCCTCAAAGATGGCCGCAGTGCAACAATTTATTTATATTTCTCGGAATTATAAACCTGTAAATTAATTAAAAGAGTGGAAGCGAGGATAAGTGATTGACTTACTGTGCACTTATGACCATATCTATGATGCTTGGTACGGTCACCAATCCCATTGACAGTCCAATCAGAACACAGGACACAATGAGGATGGTCTTACTGGAGGTAAGAAACACAAGCAAACGGCTACAGTCTTTCTTTATTGACGTGTTTAACTAGCTGACGAATAGCGTCATGAAATTAAAAAAACAAACTTTTACAAATGGATTTACGTGCAGGTAATCATTTTCAAGATTTGACCTGAAGTAGAGCTCATAATCATCAGTTTAACTTCTTTAAATGCTGACAATAAATGAACTAATTTCAAAGCGCATATTACTTAAACAAGTTAAGAAAACACCTCGTGTACCAGTACCTGGTCCGAAATGGTAGCCATGGAGACGGGCCAATGGTCAAAAATGAGATGGCGAGCAATACACAGCCCAGAATGAGCATCACACGAGTAGTGATCCGGAAGTACTTCATCTGAAGGTCACGGTATGAAAAAGGTATCAATTATTATTTGCCATTTTAAGTAGTATCGTTAGCGTATTTTATTCGCTGTGAAGAGGGTATGGGCTCCGTGCGCCAACAAAAGAGGGCGCCCTTTTACCTAGCAATGACGTCCCATGGGCGGGACATTTAGCTGGTTGACGCGCACCGTTCCTTGTGTGCGACGCACGTACACCAGGGGATTTGTACTATGTAATGAAGTGGTATGGCCGCGCGTCGCGGCAAAATTGCAGTCAGGCAAGATGGCGTCGGTCGGTCACCCCCAACTGTACTTTCTTTGCCGGTGAGGGGGTAGTTGTGAACGGAGCGGATATGTTTCTTAAGATAGTTTGTCCCAACTACAGTAGTAACATTTTCTTACGATTCATATAAAATTGGAATCACATAAACGTTGACCCGCATGATACATGAAGAAATGTCTCAAGTTATATTCCAAATTAAAGATGTCTTTGCTGAAACGTGTTTTACCGCATTGTTGAGTATCCATCCGAACACAGGAGTTGAGAGTGCGTAGGAACCGCCTTGAATGAAGAAGACAATACCAGCATTGTCCGCTGGTAACAACCCCTCCTGAAAATAAAAAGGACAGTTTTTAAGGTCCGATTGCATAGAGTTACTTGACAAGAATTAATATCTTAAGGGGAAGTTACGTCCTGGATGCGCCCGATTGGAAAGAGCATGTGAAAGTAGGATATAAACGTCCACACAACCATCCTTTACAATGCAAATTGGGGATTTTGTGTTATTCTCGCGAGAACGAATTTCGGGGTCATAATGTTGACTCTCAAAAATCGAGCTGTTGGGTGCTAGTCGTGATTCCCACCGCACATATTCCACTATGCATCGCATTCTGCGGACGTGCGAGAAACAACATTTGGGTGTTAAATAATGAAAGGTTTGCGGAAACACCAGACGGTCGATCAGAGCATACTGACCGGAACGTCGAGTTTATACCTCTGTTTCTTTTCAGAACCATTCTCTTAGTTGAGAAAGTATTCGCACATGGTGTTTCCGCAAACCTTTCATTATTTAGTATCTCAACCATGACCATACAAAGCCTCAAATCTTACTTATTTGTGTGTTGGTGCTGTGTGTATGTATCTGTATCACACACAACGTGTACTTTGCGTGGACACGGCTATAAATACGTATGCGTATGCCACAAAATGTCCGCCGCGTCAGAAGTAAACAACCGGGATTTTTCGTCTTTTCTCATGAATAGTGCGACCAATAGGGTTTCCTTCCACTGAGACCTTCCAAAAAGGATAAGTAAACAATAAAAATTAAAAACCATACAACTTTCGGGGATTTTAGGCCGTAAAGAGAAATAAAATGCATCTTGAGAACTGTTTGGAGATTGGCCTGCTGCTCTCCGTCATGGGTATAATGTGGCAACTAACCTTCAGGGTGTGGTAGGCGATTCCGACATTGAAGACGGCTTGGGCGGCTGTGCTGACGAAGAGGGCCAGAACGACCGGCCAAACGGCCGGTATGCGAAGCAGGCTCCATAAACCCTCGTCGACTTTTGGCTTGACGAACGCTGAAAAAGCACCACAAGATTTCAAATCTGATAATCACTTAAAAAATATATATGATAATTGAGTGTAAACGATGTAGAATTAATGGGTATGTTCTTGACAATTATATTAACATGAATGATGTTTAGGGTTCTGTTCTATAGTCATATCTCTCGGCGAGAGATGCGTCTATGTCATCATGACATCACACTGCCAGGCTCACCAAGTACTAAAAGACAGCTGATTTTGGCGAATTTTCATATTTTTCGTGCGCGACAAAATACCATATTTCGAAAAAAATCTTCTTTTTTTTTTTTACTGTAACAGTTATCGTTGACAAGTTATTCAAGATTTACTTCAAAATAGTCAATTTGCAATAATATTGTTACCTTTGGTTGGCAAAACTATGGCGTTGAGGGCGGTAAGCAGAAGACACAATCCACCGAGAGAGAAGAATGGTAGCTCATAACCTCCTGCCTACAAGATGAAGATACCTCAGTGAAAAAAAAATCAAATAATGCGAAGGACAAACCCTCAAATCCAGCATTCAGGTGGCATTAATCGATGAGATGTTGGCGCGGCCAATAAGCCCTTATAATTACCATCGGGGAGTCAGGTTGGCGTGGGGAGTCAGGTTGGCGTAGCGGTACTTTCCTCGCCTTCCACCGCTGTGACCCGGGTTCGAATCCTGCCTGGGCCAATATGTGGATTGGGTTTTCAGTCCCTGCCTGATTCCGTGGGTTTTCCCCAGAATATTCTTCTGGGCTTTTCCTTCCACCTCTAAAACTGTAATTTCTTCTCATTGTCTTCTCTCTACAGGTTTCTTCAGGCTTGCGAGCTACAGTGCCTTGGGCGCTTTTGAGGAATCCTTGGTTTCATTACCAGAAATGATTATTAATAATAATAATAATATAAAGATATTTAATGAATAATGACGAATGAATAATGAATAATAATGAATCAATTTGGTACCCGATAGAGTATCATTCCAATCATCGGGCCCATCACGAACGCCAATCCCGAGAACATTTCCAGCAGGCCCAGCATCTGCGGCGCACTCTCGGGAAAGTTCCCGCCCACCATCGCCATGGCAGCGATCAAGGCGGCCGAGGAGCCCACCGCCTCCGCGACGCGCATGAGCAGTGCTGACGTCACGAAGATAGTGCCATCTTGGATTTTGTCGAGAATGCTATGGAACAGGAAAAATGTTGTGACAAATTAAAATTTCGCGTATTTCTTGAAAGGCACGGCCGCTGTAAATGACGATAACGCTTATACCTATCACCGAAAAATGGTACATTCCAATAGACTTATTCACATGCAAAAACAATTCTCATAAACCCATTTTTAATTATGAAGTGTCCAATATTCGTTTTGTTGTAATACATCAGACCACGAAAAGAATAGAGACGCGCATGAGCAGTATGACGTCACGAAGATGGCGCCATCTTGGATTTGCCATGCTATGGAAGGAGGAAAGAATATTTATTTTATCGAGTTCAACAGGATACGACACTTACCCAAATATCATATTTGTGCAACCACACAGTCCCGCGCCGATAAGAAACATAGTTTTAACGTTTACTCTCGGAACCTTTTGAAAGAAACAAAATGAAGAAGGTTTATGCTTTCCCTTATTCCTTCTAATGTCTTTAAAAAAAAACGCAACACGAGAATATAAGATTTTACTTCAGTTAAAACTGTATTAGAAATTACTGTTATCATAATTATATACCTAATGTCTGGTTAACACTGGCAAATCATGAGAAATATTTTTTTCTAAGTGTTACCTCACTTTGTTCAACTTACAACTCGTGCGAGCGGCGTGCCAATCAGGAACGATGTAATAGAAAACGCGCCGAAAACGAGTCCAGCCGCCGTCTGATTGGCTCCCTTCCTGATCGCCTGACAAGAGAACCGTCCAATCACAAAGCTCAAATTACACCGTTGACCTATGACATAATTTATCTGTACTGTCGATTACCAATACAGGGTGGTCAAAAATAACCGGCAACGTCAAACTTCCAAATCCAGGGATCTAAACCATATATATGGATAGGTAATTTTGTTGGAAGGAAAATCATACCAAGAACCGCCGATTCGGTACAGTAGTTTTGATTCAAGCGCCATTTTTGTGAAGCGCAGTCAGGGTTAAGACAATCCTTTTCTCCACTGTGTGCGAGAATCCTAATAAGAGCCACTGACTTTGGTTCACAAAAATGGCGCTGGAATCAAAACTACTGGATCGAATCGGGAGTGTTGGTATCATTTTCCTTCCAACAAAATATCCTATCCATAATATATATCAATATTGTAGGTCTCTGAAGTATGAGGTTGCGTTTTTTTTGGGAGGACCACGCTGTATAGCTGGACTGTATTTTATTTTATTCTAACTCTAATTTTAGCTTTGATCGTATTACAAATTGTTAGGCCAACCAATATAGCTAATAAAATGGGAAACGTAAACAAGGCCCTATTTTCTAATTTTATCAAATTTTCGAAACGTGGCCGTATGGTCTTTCATGGCCAGATGCACAAAATGGATGACATCATGATAGTCTGAACTATTTTCGTTGTTCGACAAACAAATTTCAACGAATGTGGAAAACTAAGCAGTAAAAAAGGTAAAAAAAAAACAAGGGAAAACTAAATTTGAAGCAACTTACTTCTGGAGGGAAAAAGGGAGCGATGATTGAACACGACAGCCAAACCGACATATAGAGGGCGCTCGTCACTGCAAACTGGAACCACTGGTTCTGGTTCTCCCACATGGTTTAGTCGTCAAGGGACGTGGCTAGAGCTAAATTAGGGGCGTAGCACAAGGGCAGATTATCGAAGGACTCCCAGATTCACCATGCTTAATCCTAAATTTTAAATGGCATCTATCGACTTCCTGTACTATACATGTATTTCTTGAACGAATTGGCCGGCCCGCGAGAACATAATTTACATATCATGAATATTCCCATTCGATAAGACCTATGTCATCTTATTGAATCATAATATTTTTCACTGATTCATTGATCCAATATCATAAATATTCCTACAGATTATACCCACAAAGCAACTTTTGTCATCTTTTTTTTAATCAAAACACTTTTCTACCGATTCATTGGTCGAAATATCAAGCTAACGGGTGTTAACACGATGAAAACAATTAAAAGGATGTCAATACAGGGTGAGGTTTTTTTCACCCATTCCAATGGGATGGGATTTACACAGTTGACTTAATTTACATCAGAGTGAAAAGGCCCATGACAATCTGATGCACTGATATCACTAACTGTGTAAATCCCATTGGAATGGATGGAAAAACCTATATCCTTTTACAATCTGTTGGATCTCTGGTTTGCATGAACGGATTTCCATGGCATTTTCACTGATTATACACAAGAGTATAATTAATATGCTCCTTCAAGATGAAATACTCATTGTAAGTAGTTTTTGAGAAATTAAAGGATATCTGCTTACACAACTTTTTGGGGGGACACCGTGTACAGGTGTATGGTGAAAGATATATGATAGTTGACAATGAAATCGAGGTATATTTTCCACCAAAATACAAATGTACGCAGGGGGTATAAGGACAAAGTAATCTGCAATGGTTAGTTTGAACAAAAAGGGTCAAGATGACAAAATATCAGAGAAGTGTGTTGATATTTAGGAATCTACACCTACATACCTCACGCCCTCAATGTATATGACTTCCTAGTCCAAACTTATACATGTGTACAGGGCGAGTCAAAAAAAGCGAAACCCAAATGTCGGGACCATTGTTTTAGTGAAGTTCTGCATGTAGCATTTTCAAAATCTAGGATATGAAAGCCCAATTCATAAGCTTTCTTTTAGTACAAGAATCATTCAAATCACTTATGTACTTTTCAAGTTACGGAATTTTAAACACAACCACCGTTTTAAGGTTCTGTCCACGGATCGCAAAAAAAAAAAATCAGTGTTCTTTCAGCAAAACGAAAACAAATCACATAGGGATGTGTGTGAATTGTGTTGTTTTGCTGAAAGAACTCAAACCTTTTTGTGATCCGTGGACAGAACTTTAAAACGGTGGCTGTGTTTAAAAATTCCGTAACTTTAAAAGCACACGAGTGGTTTGAATGATTCTTGTACTAAAAGAAAGCTTATGAATTGGGCTTTCATATCGTAGATTTAGAAAGTGCTACATGCAGAACTTCACTAAGACAATAGTCCCAACATTTGGGTTTCGCTTTTTTGAGTCACCTTGTATTTTTCCAACCAAATATCTAGAACAGGGCAACCTAAACTACCGTTCTCTTACCTTAAACATAGAGCAAGCCTTAAAAAACATGGGAGCAGACATCATTTTAGATCAGGAATTTGGAAATACTGGAACTTGGTCTTGCACTCGCTGGTTAAGCATAGTACCATAACCATCTGGTCCACATAATAGTTAAAAGTCTACTACGCCAAGTGCTCTCGTACCCGAATCGTGCAAATATTTATGTCAAACGCAATCCGCCAACAAACGCCGAGTTATGTTAATTTTTAATTTTTTTTTACTGGGTTGGCTTAATGTCAACAATATGTTGTTGAATCAATGCTGAACTATTATTGACTCTGACGTTACACGTGTTGCGCAGCTTGACAAACAGGCCTGCTTAGGAGAAAATAATTATGTACACCTGTTGTGTGGTCTATTAAAATTTCCCCCGATAATTCAGTTTCTCTGATGTGAATAGTGCCAAAGGCTGTCGTCGCCATGGTTATGTCGATAAATCATGTGAATTTTATAAAGCATTTGATTTGCAAAGACGTGTGAAACCCAACCTCGTCCCCAGGGTGTCGAGCAGTACGCGCCCATCACTAAACGAGGTTGGAAATAAAGTAAGCACTGGGGACGAGGTTTTGTGAAACCTGTTTTTTTTTATTGTTCATTTTGACAGTGAGAAAGGTTGCGATTCAGATAATATTGGGCACATTTTGTGGATTTTTTGTCTAAGCGTTATTGCAAGCTTACAGAATTGACTGAAATATACAGAACATGTTTCACAGTTTTTCAATGTGAAAGACTTTCAATGTGAAAGCCACGATTTACTACCGGTATTCAATCATTGAGTAGTCACGTGTTAACAGTAAAAACGAGCTTTCCTTTCTCATTGGTCACTTCGACTGACACCAGAGCAGAAAACCAACCAATCACAGAGCACCATTTGATCTTATTCACGAGGAAAGCCATTTTTGATCGTGTTCCCAGAATGTATGTCATTAATTGTAAACTGTTCAGTGGGATGGTGCCAGACTATTTATGCGTTTCAAGCCTCACTTTCTATTTTTTTTTTAAATGTGGCTTAAAACATTATGGTATGTTAAATCACAAATTTTAAGTTATTCATCAGAGCGGATTAATATTAAAGGGAATATACATCATTTGCTTTTGCTGTAATTTTCAGAAATGGATGGAATTGGGGGGTTGGAAATATGTAGCAAATATAGTTACACTGACTTTTTTGAGGTTTTGGGTTCGAAAATGCTATAAAAACCAAGAAAAACAATCATTTTCCTGTAGTCTGGTTCCCTGACTCCATATAAGAAGAAACAGAGCAGTTTACATACATTGGGGAATTGTAAGGTCAGGGAACCAGTCTAGCTGGCTTGTACCCGTTCATAGGTGTGTAATCGATTGCAAACAAGTGCGACGGTCAATTGGGGCCAGTATTTGAAAAAAAGCCAGTTTTTTTCCAACGTTGGTCGGTCGACCAGCGTTGGAAATTGATACAAAAATACCACTTTTTTTTGAAAATGACAGTATACCAGGTGCCATGATTTTACAGGATGCTTTACACTGTCATTCACTAACAGTCCAGCAAGGTATTTCAAAATGATTTGGTAGTTTTATTTTTTGATGTTTGCAAATGTTGTATTTTCCCTTTAAGTTTCAGTTCTATTCGCAAATTCCAAAAAATGAAGATTTTACCTCGCTTTCTACCGATTCGTGAATAAAAGCCGATTTCAACGTGTCAGTGGCTGGAAGTTTAACCACTGATGAATTAATCATACTCTTATTTTCATCGGCCAGTGACTAATTAGCATAATGGCACGCATTCAACCAGGAAAAAGACCATTTTTAAAAGGCAATTCACAGCTTTTCAATCATAATAGAATGAGAATAAAACATCACTCGGTAAAAATGACAATCTTCCACCGCATTCAAATAAAGTTAAAACCATAGAATTTGTTTATTCGAAAGTGCATTCAATTGAACCACTAACCCTGATATTAGGTCAAAGGTCGCCGTACCAAGTTGCGTAATACCGTAATTATAATACAATAGTCTATTGTACATTAAAACAATGCACACGCACCTGCGTAGGGGTCTTTTATTCTCGTTATGACGTCACATCTTGTCATTTTTTTCCGTACATGTCAAAATTCCTAAAGTTCAAATCTGAAAGTTTCGTTATTCAATTTCAATTTTTGTTTTTACAGGAATGAATAGGCAGTGGATATACAACCTCGTTCCCGTGTAAAGATCGGCTTGTGTACAGAAACGGACCACTTTATCGGGAACGAGGCTGCACTATGACAAAAACGCCATTGTTTGTAAATCTAAAGCAATTACTTTTAATTAATCATGATCCCGACACTTTTAATTAAGTCTATTATCTATATCTCCTGTCGAGTTCGTAAACGAATGAAGAAATAGTTTAAAAGTCAATAAATTGTGCGCGTCACGACTAACACCGTTTTTGGCCAATAAATACAAACGGTCTACTTTTATTGTTAAATTTGAAAAATCTCAAAAGAGTACGTTGTTAGACTGAGGCAATGAAAAGTGGTGAGGTCGCGAGACAAAAAAAATGGGAATTTCAAAATACGAACTTGCAGATTTGACCAAAACCACCCGTACACGTATGTTGTGTCCTTGGGCAAGCCACTTCACCCCACTTGCCTCTGTCCACCCAGGAGTGTAAATGGGTACCGGTATTAGCTGGGGAGTAACCTGCGATGGACTGGCATCCCATCCAAGGGAAAAGAAGTATTCTCAGTTGTTTCATGTCACAAAATTCTGCTGCTTGTCAAATATTGTGTCCTTGGGCAAGCCACTTCACCCCATTTGTCTCTGTCCACCCAGGAGTGTAAATGGGTACCGTCATTAGCTGGGGAGAAACCTGCGATGGACTGGCATCCCATATATGGAGGAACACAAATATTCTCAGTCGTTTCATGCCAAGGAAATGGGAGGTATAAGCCGGCCTGACGCGGGTCATACTGGCTCATAAAGTTGAACTAAAATGGACTGGTGTGGGTTGGAACCCGCGACCTTTTATAGAGTGTTTCAAAACGAGCCAATCAGCCCTACATTGGCAGTCCCTCAAGTAAACCTACGTAATTTAGTAATTTACTCGATAGGGAAAATGACCTCTAAGACTTTGCATGTGACCTCACATCAGGGCGTGTTTTGACCAATTATTGACACAATGAAAAGCGCCCTCAGCGTTGCTAACAGTACAAAGGAGGTAGTTGCGCCTACTGCAGCCGATTTTTTTTCTTCTTCACTTCTTACTGTTCAATGCCACAATCTAAGCAGTCTAAAATCTCTTTAAATTATAGAATATTATACACAATCTCTTTATTACACAATATCCGACTGTAAGCGGCCAAAACGATAAAGTCAGTCACTGTACTAAAAAAAAGTCGAATACCAGTATCGAATACTCGATGTATCAGTGTTGCAGTGTTGCACAATGTCAGGCGTAAAAAGTCAAACCGCCAGTATCGAAACTTGGCGTTGGTTGCGAACGTCACACTTAAATCGAGTATTCGCTTACTGTCATTTAGTTAAAAAGTACTATAGTTATCTCACAATCTACACAGTTACGTACGTACGTTACTTTGTCGCTCGTTTTCTTACAGCAATTGTTAAGCGTGAAAAACATTAGAACAGTGCATCCATAGAAATTTATTTCGAGTTTTCCGTAATTACACCTAGCTAAGACTTAGTATTTCCCATTAAGAGAAAAAAAACATAGAATCTAGAATAAGTCCATCTGTTTTGCAATATCTATTATTGTTATTATTTACACTTGCAAATAGTCTCTTTTTTCTTACATATTATTATTAATTAAAGCTGCTTTTTTAATATTTTATTTACAACTAAAACTTATGTTTTCATACCTCCTCCAATATTATGTTAAAGAATGAGAAAAAAACATACAAGAATCTGAAATATACAGAATACGGCAAAAACCAAGCATTCAGCACACAAGTATTCAACTACATTACTCATATACTACAAAGTAATATCGGTAGTTTAGATACTGACCTACAATTCAAAAACCCATGGATCAGAGGGAGATCTATTTTAAGACCAACGCTAACCCAGTGGTCAAATTGCCTTGGGCGTCAACGTAGTCCTTTTGTCAAATGGATTGTATCTTTTAAATGGCTACCCTGTCCCAAACAACATTATTACATAATAGCTGGTCATGCTATTACATTTCGCTGGTTTCAAACTATGAACATGAAAATTGTTTATGTGATTCTGACTCAAAATAAAGATTATAGACCGTTAGTTTAAGGGGTAAACCAAAAACAATATGAACGTTTCTATCCTAATTTTCATACAAAAATGACAAAAAAAAATGTAATGTAAAGCTCCAAGGTCTTTGTTAAACCATGCAAAACACATTTTTATGAGAAAAAAAAAATCTGCAACCTTAAGTTTATTATTTCATTTAGGTATTTGTAAAATTGGATATATAATCGAGGTATGAAAGAAAAAAGCAAACACAACACTGAAAAACAGGACACACTTTTAAATCGATGGAAGCAGGGAACATTTCTAAATCACAGGAAGAAAAATTAAAAGATCGTATTGCTAAGCCGGGCGAGTATTTGGCAGATATGTCATTCGAACGATGACCATGGTCAATAGCAGTGGCTATTGACCAGTGAATATTACATGGATCTATTAAACCCAACCCAATGATATTTTTGACCGATCACAGCCGTGATGTCGGGTGAGTATTTGGCAAATATGTCCTTCAAACAATGACCACGGTCGATAGCAGTGGCTATTGGCCAGTGAATATTACATGGATCTATTAAACCCAACCCAATGATATTTTTGACCATTCACAGCCGTGATGTCTAATGTGCGTGTACAAATGTCTGACATGCGTTTACGCGTGTATGGCGAGCACCAGACTGGGACCTTGAGAGCAGAAAAACATGCCAAACAAGATCAGACCAACTTTACCAACTTTAATAGCCAACAAAATTCTCCAAACTTTTCATGGGGAAAAGACAAGGTCCTTCGTATTTCACCAGCCAAGTTTGAGGTCTCAAATAAGCCTCTGTACTTTGTTTACGTGTGTGCTTTCCTATGGTGCTCAGTGGACCGTGGGCCCCCACTGGCTCCATAGGAAAGTGCACATGTAAACAAAGTGTGATGTCATTAGTACAGAGGCTTATTCAATTTGTCAAGGAGACTTTTCTTTAACATTTTGCACCTGAGAGTGAAGCCAAGTGGTTCAATTTGAAGCTGAAGACTAGACTGGTGCGTGTCCAACTATTTGCAAATATTGACCCCACTTTTTGCAAAGATTTTTTACGTCTTGGATGGCTGTACTGCTCACATGTTTGGAACATTGTTAGAATTTGAAATGATTTAGGTATTTATCCAAGCACAAGGCAGTATTCAAGTAAAAGTAGAAACTCCAAAAATAACTCGCTAAAAACAAAATTTAAAGTAACCAAAAAACTGAATACAACTTACAAAAAAGAATCAGAGAACGATTTGTCAAATTAGGACTTTTTTGTCGAACACTTATTGCACAAACTAAATGCTTGCGTAGGATTTTGTGGACTTTGTGACTTTTTTTTCATGAAGTGTCAGCATGTGAAACTAATTGACACGTGACACCAGGTGACACTAACTGACACCTGGTGACACTACTTGACACCAGTTGACACCAAGTGATACCAGTTGACACCTGGTGCATGACACAGGGTGACATCAGTTGAGATCAGGTGACACCAGGTGACACCAATGACATTTCAGGTAACTGTGGCATACTGGAGAGTGAATGGCAGTAACCTCAAACATGTACACATGTACATGTATGTGCCAACACATGACAACAGGTGACACCATGTGACACCGGGTTACACCAGGTGACACCAATGACATTTCAGGTAACCATGGCACACTGGAGAGTGAATGGTAGTAACCTCAAACATGTATGTGTCAACACATGACAACAGGTGACACCATGACACTCTCAAGTCATGTGTCATATCAATGACATCGTGTTGTCATGGGTGCCACTTGTGACAAGTGACATCAAGTTATTAGTTCATGTTTTGTTGTGACATTCAATGACATTCTGACTTCGTTGTGACAAAACATGTAAGTCCACACACAAACACATCCGAATCCCTGCTACCTGGACCCAACAAAACGCAATCAAACAAAACAAATGCATTATCACCCAAATCAAGGTAACAAAATTGGAATCATTCAAATGATAATTTCAAGTATGAAAATTAAACAACACACAGAGGACAAGAAAGAATCAAAGTAAAAAAAAAATATATCAACATAAATTAAACAAAAATTATTGCAAATATAAATCAAAACCTGCACCCTTCAAGAGTAAATCTGCGTCATGGGCCAAATTCGCGGAGACGCTAAGCACACAATGAATACATGCTAAGCATTAAAAAAAGGTTACCAGCCAAAAGGTGATGCAAAGTGTATTGCTTCCGACTGGTTCCAAGCAAATTTAATGCTCAGCATGATTTTCTGCTTAGCGGCTTCGTGAAAATGGCCTCATTTTACAGGAGATCAATTTACACTAGAGCACCCGTTGGGCGAAACCTGAGCTAAGCGAATTCAATAAGCTGCTAACAAAACATATATATGTACATTATAGTTTGATGTGACAATGCTGTATGGTGTCATGGATCCTTTACAATGTAATACAACATAATACAATGTAATACAATGTAATACATGTACAATGTAATACAATGTGATACAATGTGATACAATGTAATACAATGCAATACAATGTGCATGTAGTACAAGTGCTAATGGATGAAAGGCTGCAGAATGGGGATGCTATAGCCACAGTCTGAGCCACAGCCCTAAACCTAAAGCCATAGTCACATCCACAGCCAATGCAAAAGAGCTCTACCAAAAACAAAACCAGAACCAAAACTAATACAGAACCAAATCCATAGCCATAGCCTTAGTCATATCTTTAGCCATAGCTCTTCAGTCTAAGCACAGATCCTCTACACAAAGATAAACGACTTCCCCAAATTTCTGGTTACATGTGTGATACGGCACTTGCGCGTCGTGCGTGCGCATCCGCGAGACTCGGTGCGCAACTGCAGTCTTCCAATGGTCAAATTTCTGTCATGACGCCAGCTGTCAGGATTCATGGCGCGCTCGCATTGTTCTACATGTTCTATTACGCGTTGTTCTATACGCAGATGCGGCATATCACGCATGTAGGCAATCCGTTCTGTACATTTTGTACACAAACTCAGATGAGTCGTTTATCCTTGTGTAGATCTAGGATCCGTGGTGTAAGTGAATGTTCTCAATGGTGCTTGCAAAAAAAAATTTTGGGAGAAAATCTGAACGTGTTCAAAGCATCAAGACGTTCCCACAACTTTTTTAGTCTTAAGGAGTCAAGTGAAATGAGAATGGATTGATCACTACAAAAAGCGATAAAAAGTTCATCAATGCTTGAAGGGAAAAACAAAAGGAAACATTTTCCAAGTTAAAACTGCAGCTACTTAACATTGTTGTCAACATTGAGCAAGACCAGCTTTCTCAATGTAATAAATCAATTTAAATTTGAAATATCTACAGGAAGGAAAAAATAAAGTCTGATGAAATTAATTTCTTGTCCACTTTGTAGAGTCGTCGTAACTACTTGTATAAACTTCTCTAAAATAAAAAAAAAGGAAAGTTTGTTTGTTTGTTTGTTTATATAAACCATGTAAAACACTGTCAGGGATGTTTGTGTGTCTGTTTTTGCATAATTGTTTTTTCCAACGCTTGATTTGTTTAGAAATTGTCAAATTCGGATCAATATTGACACATAATCAGTTTCCCATTAAAATCCCAAAAGCGAAAACATACTAACCGACAATCACTCAATTAAACCCATTCTGTAAATTTTCCCCAGTCATTCCCAAAGAAACATAAAAAAAAAAAAAAATTTACAAAAAATGATTTTGAAATTGAGGAAAATTCGTAAACTATCACTTTCTATAATCTGCATAATGTGCGACAACTGTAATTAGTAAATTTGTAAATTTTAAATCAATAAAATTTGGTGCAGTTAATTAATTTAATAGTACTTTGTATGAACGCATGAATACATGCAGAATTCACCAATGCCGTTAATAACAGCATGATCATAATTTTCTATAATTTTTTTTTATATTTTACGTAAACCTAATTTATCTCATGCTCTCACTGATTGTAAAATATTTGTTATCTGCTAAAGACTATAAATTTAGATAATTTATTGTAATTTTCATACGAATTTTTTTAGAGTAATTTCTAAATTTTTTTCTTCTTCCATTCCGTATCACTTCTCACTAATCATTGCACAAAAAAACACTTGGCAGTATTCTTGGTTACCATGGTGTCTCCATGGCAACGGTCATCTCTTGTTACCATGGAGACGGTTATCCACATTCAATCTCTCCTTGTTTCGACGTCTTCGTCAAGGAGCATAAAACGCCGGTGTCCAACTTTCAAAAATCTCAAGTTAATCCGAAGCTTCTTGCCAGTCCGTCCAAATTGTGTTGGGGCGAAAAAAAGTACATTATTATCCCGTTTCCTTTTTAAAAGGAAAAAAAAAGCGACGACCGAAAATTAATCGCCCCTCGTGAGGTTATTAGGTGGAGTTAACAAATCTCAAACCTGACCGCCTTCGTCGCTCTTCATCGCGACGAGTCGGGCCTGTTCTCGTCGCGGGCTGGTCTGTCCGTCGTTGCTGTTGAGGGCGGGCTCCGTGTTTCGGCGCTTGATCTTCGATTTGGATTTCTTCAACATGGTGGCCTGTTACCAAATGGAAAAAAAAAATGAAAAAAAAAAATGCAGACTTTTCCACTGTGGCATCCATCTTGGTCTAGTTCCCTGACAACATGGTTGATGCTACATAGATGTTCAACGTATATGATAAGCACCAGACTATTTTAATGACGTCATACCTGCAATGCAGATCGGCACACCACAACCTGACCAGCTAGTTGCATCCATGGTTCCCCGTCAACCTGCACTGGCATGTCAGTGTTGAGCCATACACGGACCTGTGCAGGGCACCGGCCAAAGATAACAAGGGAAGTCATTATTAATTAGTTTAATTAATGTATGTATCACTTATGCTCTCTTCGCCATCCTCAAGATCATCATTGTGATTTTTAAAGCATTGCATTTTGTACAACTAAATCTGAAACCTCCGAAAATCACGCAACATGTGGGTTTTATTGCAGTCAAACTCCAAGTGCAACAGCCTTGAAGCTCTGTGTACATAGTAGCTACTACATGAAGTCTCAATCATGTCATATGTTAATGCTTTAACTTATTTCCAGACGCACACTACTCCAATCCGGGTTCATTTAACATGTGCTTCTACCATACAACCTGTGCACCTAATGACTGGTAGAACAGAATAAAATTGCGTTTGCAATACAGATGTCACGGTACTGTTTTCATTAAATTTGTTGAAATTTAATTTTAATAATGAGACTTTTGCGGGGAAAAGATCGTCAGAAAAATCAGAATTTCGAAAATAAATAAGACAAAATCAGTTTTCCGATTAAACTCGGAAAAGTTTCATCTCTACAACACAGGGGAAAAATGTTGCAACCTGACGCCACTTTTTTCGTCATATATCATCTCAATGAAGGTCAGTCATTGCAAAAAAGATGATAAGACATGAATCTGGGACTGAGAAACATTTCCAATTTTGTTAGGAAATACTTATAATTTTCTTGACTCTCCATAGACTTTGTACACAATCGCGGAAGTGACATGAGGTTGCAACATTTTTTCCCAATATAGCTTTCCGGTATCTCGGTATTGTAGTCCAAAGCCAAAAATTCTGTATTTGCTGTGTGGTCTGGGATGTAGCCTAAGCCCAAAGACCCGACAGAACTGAGCTACATATCTCAGTTAGTAGAGTGCAGGTATGGTGTTTTAGAGGTTACAGGTACAAACCCCACCATGGACTTACATTTGCCCCCTGACCCAGTCGGATCCCCGTCCGGAGCCCGCTCTGTATCTGGCCCAGGTGAACCACCCCCGTCAAGCCGACGAGTTCCAGGAGTCCGTCGTCATGGCGACACTTCTTGAAGGTGGTATCCTGGTTGTCCACGCCCCACGGATCCGCGCCACTCCCCCAACTACACGTACAAAAAAAAAGAAAAAAAAAAGAAAAAAGGGTCACACTCTCAATTTTCTAATTAAAGGGAATGTACATCATTGGCTTTTGCTGTAATTTTCAGAAATGAACCATTTGAGGGGTTAGTATAATAGATCAAATATTGTGTTACACTTACATGCTTGAAATTTTTTTGTTCGAAAATGCTGGAAAAACCAAGAAAAACTAAAATGTTCAAGTAGTCTGGTTCCCTGACTCCACTAAAGATAAAATGGATCAATTTATAGATGCCAGAAAATTGTAAGGTAAGGGAACCAGTCTAGCTGGCCTGGACCCGTTCATGAACATGTAACCAATAGCAAACAAAATTTGAACTAAAAAAAGGTAAATTTGAAGCAGTAGTTGAAAAATAGTTAGGTTTTTCCAACGGTGGTCGGCCGACCACCGTTGGAAAAGTATACAAAAAAACAATTTTCTTGAAAATGACTTCGCACCAGGTGCCATAATTTTACAGAATGCTTTAGACTGTCATTTACCAACATCCTAGTAAGGTATTTCGTAAAAACTTGGTAGTTTTATTTTTCGATGTTTGCAAATGTTGTATATTCCCTTTAACATAAATTTTACTTTATACCCTGCAGCCGATTTCACGAAAACGTGCGTAGCTTGCGCCATGCGTAAGACTTACGCAACAAATTTGTTGCGCAGCTGCGCAATAAACTTACGATCCATTTCACGAAACTTGGTGTAGCTGCGCCACGTTTTTAATAATTTTAAACATCTTGAATGAGGATTAAAATAGCATTTACGACGGCTGTTTGTGTGTTCAAAGAGCGCCCTCTATTGTTCATGCGCGAAGTCAATAAGGAAACTTTTGTTGGCTGCTGTGAAGTGGGCCGTGTGTTTTTTTTTTTCACACAAACACTCACCTTGAGATATTGAGTATGAGCATGCCCTCTATTGACGGGATCTCAATCGGTCTGCCGTCCACCTCCACTCGTAGCTCCTTCTGTAGTTCCTTGCAGGATGTTCTCCTGCCCAGCTTGCGCATCCCAAGACGGAAGTAAACTCCTTTGTTATGCAACCTGTAGAACACCAATAACATTTTTTATTGGCTTTACCACAATTTTTAAAATGCAAAGTCAAGAGATCAGCGTGTTGAAACTAAAGACTTCACTGGATCACCCCGAAGGACCAATTCAGATAGAATCAGTTCAAACCAGATACAACCAGATCAAACTAGATGGAATCAGTTCAAACCAGATGGATCCAGTTCAAACCAGATGCAACCACATCAAACTAGATGGAGTCAGTTCAAACCAGATGGAACCAGTTTAAACCAGATGGAACCCAGTTCAAACCAGATGCAGCCAAATCAAACTGGTCCTAAACATTTAAAACCAGACCTTAATGGGTATGTGCACAGAATCATACCACATCCAAATAGTCTAAACCAGTTAATGCCGATACTGAAGAAGTTGTTCATGACAAACATGTTCAAACCAGATTCAACCAGTTAAAACCAGATCCAACCAGTATATTGTTTTCCGGTTTCTCCTCTCTGGACATGTGGAATCCCAGACAGAGGTCAACATCAATGCTGATTTAGAAGCAATTATTAAGGAAGACCATGTTCAAACCAGATCAAACTAGTTCAAACCAGATTCAACCTGTTCAAACCAGATCCAACCTGTTCAAACCAGATCCAACCTGTTCAAACCAGCCCAAACCAGAACCAACCAGCTCGGACTTACTTACTTCAGAACTTTTCTGGTTTCTCCTCCCTGGCCATGTGGAATCCCAGGCAGAGGTCAGCTGATGCTGAAGTAGTTGTTCATGACAAACATGCAACAACCACTTCAAAACCAGATCCAACGTGTTTAAACCAGTTCAAAGCAGAACCAACCAGTTCTTACTCACCTGCTGTTGAACTTTTCCGGTTTCTCCTCCCTGGCCATGTGGAATCCCAGGCAGAGGTCGGCGTCGATGCCGATGCTGAAGTAGTTGTTCATGACAAACATGTTGGGCATGTCCTCATTGCCCGAGCTGCTGTTGGAGGAGTTGGACTTGTTGTCGCACTCCATCAGTTTAGATTGGTCCGTTTCAAAGATCACCGTCCACCTGTCGGAATACAGAGAAAACCGAATGAAGCTGAGTTCGAACCTGGGACCTCCGGAATAATAACAGAATGAAAACTCATTGACCCACTGTGCTGTTGTAGGACTTGCATCTCCAGTGTACTCAGATTGCATTGGTCTGTTTTAAAGGGAATATACATCATTTGCTTTTGCTGTAATTTTCAGAAATGGATGGAATTGGGGGGTTGGAAATATAAAGCAAATATAGTTACACTGACTTTTTGGAGGTTTTGGGTTCGAAAATGCTATAAAAACCAAGAAAAACAATCATTTTCCTGTAGTCTGGTTCCCTGACTCCATATAAGAAGAAACAGAGCAGTTTACATACATTGGGGAATTGTAAGGTCAGGGAACCAGTCTAGCTGGCTCGTACCCGTTCATAGGTTTGTAATCGATTGCAAACAAGTGCGATGGTCAATTGGGGCCAGTATTTGAAAAAACAGCCAGTTGTTTCCAACGCTGATCGGCCGATCAGCGTTGGAAATTGATACAAAAATACCACTTTTCTTGAAAATGACAGTATACCAGGTGCCATAATTTTACAGGATGCTTTAGACTGTCATTTACCAACATCCTATTAAGGTATTTCGCAAAAAGTTGGTAGTTTTATTTTTCGATGTTTGCAAATGTTGTATATTCCCTTTAACGATCACTGTATGCCTTTGGGAATTAGAAAAATATTGAATGAAGCGAGATTCGAACCTCGGACCTCCAGAATATCAACATAAATAATGATCTTGTAAAGCATTCGTAATGTAAGGTTGTGTGCGTTCTTATTATAGTTGGCAAACCATTCCTTAACCCTCCTGCTATCTAAACAGTCACAGACAGTCAAAGACAAATCAATACTCTTCCCCTGCCATGCCTTTTACACAGGCTAGTCACCAACAGTCAGATCATATTTCAAGCAAGCACTGTGACTAGTCAAATCCAGTCAAATGACAAAAGCCGGCAAGTGGTGGGCACAGCTGGCTTATCAATCACCTACAGTCAAAGCATAGCTGTATCCAGTTACATAAACAGTCACAGCCAGTCAATCCTGCTTTATGTGGGCTGGGAGCTCTGAACTGTTGAAAACAGTCACTTGATTGATTATGACTGAAAGGACAACTAGGCACAGAATGTATGTTTGCATAGGAGGGTTAAAAAACTGTATGACAGTGGTACATTATTCACTTCATTATTAATCCTGGCCAACTAATTTCAGCTCAGACGTTTTGGTGTACTTCAAAATTCACCAAGCGACACCAAAGTTCACCTCTTCTGATGCAAAGTCTGGAACAGATATTTTACCAACGGTTATGGATTCTCCCTTTAGTATGTTAATGGACAAATCTAAAGCCACAGCCAAAATATTCCCAATTTAAGAACAGTCTAATTAGAAATGACCCTTGAACTCTGACCTGTCTAGCTTGACCTCCTCCGAGTCTACTATGGCCTGTAGGATGGAGTAGAGTTCATCACCTTGCTGGTAGCCGCCTCCCCACTTCAGGACCCGGGAGAGGTCATTACCTGGGGTCACACAGAGGTCAAAGGTTACTGAATGAACAGCAGGGACATGTTGAAATCTGCTTCTCTTGGATGTTGGAATTTCACATTCAGAGAGTTGTAATCATGTCAAGATAAGTCATCACTATTCATCATAAGTCCACCACCAGTCATCACAAGTGACATTAATCCATCATAAGCCATCACAAGTCAATCACAATACACCACTAGTCGATCAGAAGCCATCACAAGTCAAGATAAATCATCACAAGTCAATCACAAGTCCACCACAAGTCCATCACAAGTCAATCATAAGTCATCACTAGTCAATAAGAAGCCATCACAAGTCATCATAAATCATCACAAGTCAATCACAAGTCCATCACAAGTCATCACTAGTCAATCAGAAGCCATCACAAGTCATCATATATGTAAATCGTCACCGTCGTCACCACAAGTCAATCACAAGTCAATCACAAGTCATCACTAGTCTTCACTAGTCAATCAGAAGCCATCACAAGTCATCATAAATCATCACAAGTCAATCAAAAATCCATCACAAGTCCATCACAAGTCATCACTAGTCAATCAGAAGCCATCACAAGTCATAATATATGTAAATCGTCATCGTCGTCACCACAAGTCAATGACAAGTCCGTCACAAGTCAAACACAAGTCATCGCTAGTCAATCAGAAGCCATCACAAGTCATCATAAATCATCACAAGTCAATCACAAATCCATCACAAGTCCATCACAAGTCATCACTAGTCAATCAGAAGCCATCACAAGTCATCATAAATCATCACAAGTCAATCACAAGTCATCATAAATCATCACAAGTCCAATGTACAATACTTACCAGTTCCCAGTGGTAGTATGGCAATGGCGGGATTGCTACACACCGACTCCTGCCCTACGTCATCCAAGCACTGCAGCACCCAACCTACGGTACCGTCACCTCCGCAGATCAAGATACGGTACTCCTGCAGCTGGCTGAATGCATGCAACCTGCAGGTAGTTCATTGATTGGAGAAGGGTAACTTAACGAACAGGTGCATATTTGTTGGGACTCACCTGAATCCTTCAGAATCCACCAATGTGCAGGAACCTAATGGCACACTCTTTGTACCTACCAACAATCCTGGCCAAATCTCGCTGGGCCCCCAACCCACCGGCCCCGGTTCAATGTTGTCTCTCATTGCGCGGTGTGTGCTCCATCAGCTGAAGAGAACAACATTGACCGGGGGAGCGGGGGAGTGGGTGACCGTGGCAGGCTCAGGAAGTGTCCCAACCATTTTGGCCGGGATTGAAGTTTCAAGTGGCATTAAGTTCCATGTACAGTAATAGTATCTTCCATTGTCGTAGTTTAGGTATTTGTGATGGATCACAAGCAATCACAAGCCAATCACAAGCCAATCACAAGTCATCTAGTCCCAAGTCAACAAAAGCATGCCTTTGTTATTGTTCATCTTTTGTTACTTGTAATTAGCCTTGTGACCAGACTTGTGATGTCCTTGTGATCGATCACCTCGACTACAACACTTGATCTTTTCATAAGATGGAATTTTTTGTGTCGGGGTGATGTCAATCAAATTAGGTTTTTGCCCTTCACCGACGTACATGTATAAACACTGTATACTCAGTGTGTTACCTCCAACTTTCACTTGGGAGGTAACACACTGAGTATACAGTGTTTATACTCGGGAGATAACAGTCGGTGAAGGGCAATAACCTAATTTGATTTACATCACCCCGACGCAAAAATTCCATCTTACGAATAGTTAATGCGGTACCCGCTGCTATGTACATCAGATTCGAACCGGCGAACCGATCCCGTTAGCTCGGTGGTCGAGTGGTGAGACGTCTGCACTAAAAAACCGGAGGTTGTGGGTTCGAGTCCCATCCGAGTGATTTTTTCCAAATTTCACTCGGGAGGTAACACACTGAGTATACAGTGTTTATACGTCTGTGAAGGGCTAAAACCTAATTTGAACACTTGATCTCCTAAAATCACTGAAAACCTCCAGTTGGATTCTGAAGTATCTAGGAGGATTAAGAAATCAATAACTTCTTTGATTCTGTACTCTTAAGACAACTAAACAGACCAACTAACAAACAGACACTGATACAACAAAAGGATCTAGCTTTGGTTTAACCTCAATCTTGTAAAAGAATGTTCAGGACTTAGATACCACAGTTAGACACCAAGGCCCTCTTCTTTGGAATCAGCTTACCCCTATACCCTTCTTTCGGACTGTGCATAAATTCAACAGATATATCTAAAAAATCTACTTATTTCCGTTATTATATAAGACGTGCACCCATAATTCGCATTTGTAAAAGTCACATTCCATCATAATCAAATGTTATATTGTAAATTAGTACATGTATATTTCAATTTCCTTCCGTTTTTCTACTATTTTGCCAAGTAATTAATTAATTAATTTATTGACCACTGATTTAAATTATAGCTATGATTGTTGTTTATTTCATAAGTTATTCACAAACGGGACCAGGCTCTGTATAAGCTTAGGCTCTTTTCCTGGTTCCCCCATCTGTCACCATTTATGTTTAATTGATCAAAGTGTTGTACATGTATTAGCATTCTATTAAGTTTAGTTATTGTTGTAGTAAATAAACTGTTGCATTTGCATTATATTAATTTGTGACACATGGAAATAAAACAATACAATACAATACAATACAAAATCCTTCACTCTTTGCGGGCAAACAGAAAACCAAGCAGCCCAGCAAACAGACAGACGTGATTCTACCTACCCCGGCAGTGGACCGCCCTGACACAAGTTGAAGACCTGGTAGGGGTTGACCATCTTGGAGAGGATGTCAAAGACCTCGATTCCTTGGCAGCCTCCGCTCTTGACGTTGATGAAGAGAAGGAGGGGCGTGGCATCGGGTCTCAAGAACTCGATCTGAAACCATCAAGAAATTACAGATACAAGTTGATTGCTTGAACCCTCCTGCTATTTAAACAGTCACAGACAGTCAAAATTCACTTCCACTTCCCCTGCTATACTTTTAACAAAGGCTAGTCACCAGCAGTCAGATCATATGTCAAGCAAGCACTGTGTCTAGTCAAACTGGGTCAACAGACAAAGCAGGCAAGTCGTGGTCACAGCTGTTTTATCACTCACCGGGAGTCAAAGCATAGTTGTATCAAGTTACTTAAACAGTCCCAGCCAGTCAATCCTGCTTTATGTAGGCTGGGAATTCTTAACTGTCACTTGTTTGATTTTGACTGAAAGGAATACTTGGCACAGAATGTATGTTTGCATAGCTGGGTTAAAATTGGTGAGTCATTCTTCAGGGAGCGAGTACGATCAAATACAGGGTGAGTAAAAAAAACCGAAACCGAAATGTCGGGACCATTGTTTTAGTGAAGTTCTATATGTAGCACTTTCAAAATCTAGGATATGAAAGCCCAATTCATAAGCTTTCTTTTAGTATAAGAATCATTCAAATCACTCATGTACTTTTAAAGTTACGGAATTTTAAACACAACCACCGTTTTAAGGTTCTGTCCACAGATCACCAAAAAGGTGTGCATTCTTTCAGCAAAACAAAAAACAATTCACACACATCCCTATGTGATTTGTTTTCATATTGCTGAAAGAACACTGATTTTTTTTGCGATCCGTGGACAGAACCTTAAAACGGTGGTTGTGTTTACAATTCCGTAACTTGAAAAGTACATGAGTGATTTGAATGATTCTTGTACTAAAAGAAAGCTTATGAATTGGGCTTTCATATCCTAGATTTTGAAAATGCTACATGCAGAACTTCTCTAAAACAATGGTCCCAACACTTGGGTTTCGGTTTTTTTTTACTCACCCTGTACATTTCAAACAGGTTTGGGAGGTACAACAGGAATCTTAAAATACATTCTTACGTGAATTTCTGGAATGAAGATGCAATTGACCGGTTTGTCTTCGTAGGTGGCGTCTTTGAGAACGTGATAAGCCTGGATGGCTGCGTCGTGGTCCTCAAAGGCTACTATTGCTGCTCCTGGAGATACGAAGCGACGAGAGAACAATTAAAAAACAAATCCTTGGGATTGGAAGCTTGTCATGAATCTATGGGCTCAGTGCACAAGTACTCATTCAATGGCCAGAAAAGGAGAGTTGGGGGGGGGGGGGGGGGGGGGAGAGAGAGACCTAGACTGGTTCCCGGTCCATCAACTGTGTATTTCAAATGATCCAAAGTTATTAGGGGTGGGATTTGTCTGGGAGACATCGCAAGTTACATTCGAACGTATTCGCGCGCCGCCGACGCCGCCTGACGCTCACGCGAAGACGCTGTGGCTTTAAGCTTTGGCACATTCAGGAAGTCGTGCATACTTCACGCAAGAACCAGTACACCGCAGTACACACACGCTGTGTGTCCTGTCCTCGGGGCTCTCAAAAGAGGTAAAAACGCGCCCTCTTTGTTGGCGCAAGTAGCCCACAGGCTGATTTAACGAAAGCATTGATTTGTGTTGCGTACTTCATAAATGATTAAGATCTGGAAAGGGGGAAGTGGAAACAGTGGTGGTAGGGGACGGGTGGAGGGGGGGGGGTTGGGGAGGGGGAGGGCAGGTTAAGATGAAGTGAGAGATTAGAGATCAGAGATGAAACTGGCCTATGGGGAAAAAAACCGGAAAATAGGCAGAACAAAAATCTGTGTCCGAAATGTGGGCCATGCCGCAGTTAATTCGTTGGAATTAATTTAAAAAATCAAACTTTGCAGGGAAAAGATTGTCAGGAAAATCGGAATAAATTTGAAAAAGTCGGATTTCCGATAAAAATCTTAAAAGTTTCATCTCTGATAGATGTAAGGGACAAGGATTTCGTGAAGGGTTTGGGGAAGAGGTTGGAAATGAGGGACAGGGCGTTTGGACTACATACGAGACGTTTCATCAAGATAATCATACAAGTTTTCTATATTCTGGGATGCTTACCATATTGTACGTAGACTTTTCCTACTGAGGTGAACAACGGACATCCCGCTGTGAATTCAAAAAGGACAATTTCTTGAGTAATCACTTCTGCTTAGCATTGAAAACATCTTACAAACAGATTAACAGCCAATTTAATGAGTAAAGGTAATGAGGAGTTTCCAAATTTGAGCTTAGCTCAAATTTTGCTAAGCGTTTATACATTTTTTTAATGCTCATACTCAATATCTCAAGCTTATCTTCTTCTAAGAATTGCCTCATGTGTTTGTACTTTAGGTAGAGTATATCATTTTTCATTTGTGTTTTTTTCGTTTGAAGCAACAAAAGTGTTCAAAATCTATGGAAGGGTGCTTAACAACTGACCTGATGAAGTTTCAGCTCAGTGAATGCTGTATATTCCGAGAAAATAATATTCTAGGATCTCGATTTCAATTCAAAAGTTGCCGAGTCATGTTTTGAATTGCGCCCGAAACCTGCGTCCGGGACACGTTCTCATTCAGCCGATTGCAGCTACGCACTGAACAGATGAATAATAGCAACCGCGTGTGCGTCCTTTCAACGTTTGCGCGCACCCTTTCACAGCTTTGACGAATTAAAAATGAACTACAAAAGGAAATTTCCAAAGATTCGTCTTTGGACACATCTTTGGAAATTGCTTTCTTTTATTGTTTTATTCAAAATGACAACATGCCAGAAGGAATAATTTCACAGGGAGTTTAGTGCCATTACCATCTTTAAACCAATAAGCTTTTCAACAATAGTTTTGTCAGTAACTTTTGGGATAGCTGCAAATGATATACTCTACCTTTAAACTCTATCAAGTGGATGCTAAGCACTTAACATTTGCTAAGCAGTGCTCTTCTAAGCAATTTACTTACCTTCCTCTAAGAGATGTCTGATGATGTGTTTGTACTTAAACTCTGACAGGTTGATTGGGAGATTGCCTACAAACATCTGGGCAGCGTTGACTGGCTTCTTCTCATCCGCTCGCTTGAGCTGGTATCTCGTCTGCTTCATCTGGAGCAGGGAATTCTGGGTAACGGGAACAAGGACGACACAATCAAATTGATGTGTTGCCTAGCAACTAGGGCAATGGAAGTTCCGGTGGGGTTGCTGATATGAAACTTGTTACTTACCCGTCTGGCCTTGATGAGTTGCGGCCAGGGGCACTCGTCCCGATCCATCTCCCTCTCGTGGATATCGTGCTCGATGATCAGCTCCAGCAACGAGATCATGTCTGGGTCTTCATCCTGTAAGATCAAAAGGCCAAAGGTCACACACATATAAGACCTCGTCAACCTTTACTCGCGGCCTTTCTCTCACTGAATATAAAACTAAAAAGATACTGCAAGTAAAACTTGTGCGATCCCCCTGGCATCCTGGCAGTTTGTATACATGTACAGGCAGTTAGTAGGGACAATTTTCAGTGTACCTAACCAAAATGGAACTAAATAGCAACAGGGATTAGCAAAGAGATGGGTGGGCAGCTGTGTTAGTCGGGCAGTGTTGTGTCACTTGTGTGTGCCTCTGAAGGTAGGCTACAGTGTAAGTGAAAGTGAACACCCCTAGATCACTATTCAGTCCACAACTGTGAAGCTATATTGGGACCTTTTACTTAGAAAACAATAACTTTCATGACACTAGAGAAACAAATTGACATAAATCATGGGCTACCTACGGTAGGACCAAGGAGTAACCCTGGAGGTTGCCTGAGTCTAATCACTTTACCAGATACCATGAGCAATAACCACAGATCAAGTTTGGTGGAGATTGATGACTGAACTTACAGTGAACCTAACCAAAAATGGAACACACAGACATACATACACACACCTGTCGATCGTGGACGTCCTATTGTCCCTCTTTTGTTTGTATTCTTAACTTTTTAGGAAGACTCCCATAGGTTTTGTACACGACCCCAATCGCGGACGTATGCTGGGAATCGTGGACGATATTGTTCTCTTTTGTTCTGTGGTATTTTTCGTCCACGGTTTGAAAAGATGAACACGTACACCCACACAGAAGGAATACACGATAGCAATATCCCCCTGTCTGGCTTGAAAGCCAGGAGGACAATGAAGTAGTTTGTTAGACTGGTGTAAGCAGAGTTTGACAAAGGCCTTACCTCTAAGCCAAACTTGTGCAGAGCCATTTCAATGATCTCTTTGACCGAGATGTAGCTGGTTATGGAGACAGTGACGTACTCCACAGGGACCCTACAGAACAGAGAGAGAAAACAAGTTATGGATTAATGGATTCCAGATTCTGCGTGTGTGCATCCACTCAGCCATATCTACACCAGTCTTGCAGTCCAGTCCACTACAAGACCTTACAAGTCCATCAAACGTTGTCTTTTTTTAACCCCTTGACGTCCGAATGCTGTGGTCAGCCACGGAATTTCCTCTATGGGCAGCTGCTAGGCATGTGACCAGCAGTGCAGTGCCGCTACTGCCGCTACTGCGCAGAGGCTCTGTGCAGTGATGCGTGTAAGCCTGTGCAGTGAGGCATAAAAACCCGGCAGCAAGGGGTTAAGCGTTTGACTTCAAACTTGGTAGCGTTGTCATTATCTCAGTCCACGAAAAGATGACCATTCACAAGTCAAGTCACGAGCTGTTCAAATGAACCGTGATGAGGGCATTGCTTTGTTACCGATCATCCCATGTTACTTGTGACTAGTTGTGAGGTCGTCTGAGTTGCGTTTAACCACTTTGCGCCGGGATTATTTTTGCCGAAAATGTGGATTTTCGCAAAAGGCAAAATTTTCCAGCCAACTTCTGATATACAGCCAAACGCCACAAATACTGATTCGCATCGGTCATTTCAACAGTATTTGTACGATATTTCTTGCCGAAACCTCATAAGTTTTCAACAGTATTTGTACGATATTTCTTGCCGAAACCTCATAAGTTTCAATACTCTTAGGTGTAATGGAACGTAAATTGTAGAATAGGCCGTGCACAACGGCCAATTCAAGATCAACACACGGTCCGCCTCAACAGACTTTGTGTGTGTACAAAAGACATGAGGGACTAGCGTGTTTAGATGTCACCCGGAGGCGAGTCCAGGCAATCTTGACCTTTTAACTCGTCAGCCTTGCCTGTGTATAAAAACAGCCAGTGCGTGTTATCACGTCCTCCGACGCCAACTGGTTAACCCGATTTGTCATGGACTTGGGTGGACTCAACAACGCTGCTACCAAGGTTCAAAGTGAAAACATTTTAAAAGTTCGCAATACTCACTTCATTGCTCCTGGATAGACTTTGATGAGACCCTTCTTGGCTTTTGTCTCCTGAAAATAAGTACAAAAATACTGCAAGTAAAACTTGCACGCTCCCCCTGGCATCCTGCCAGTTTGTATACATGTACATGTACAGGCAGTTAGTAGGGACAATTTTAAGTGACGGCAATGATTGTCCACCCGGCAGGTGCCAGTTCTCAGTTGAATGGGGAGTTTGGGTTGAATGGAGAGTTTGGGTGAGACACCGGACTAACATATGTTAGAGTCATTAGTATCTCTCCAGAGTCCTCGTAAATATCCATATTGGAAAGGATTTTTTTGACGTCGGCCTTCTCTCCACAGACCACCTTTCAAGTTTGGTTGAGATAGATGACTGCACTTTACAGTGAAATGGGACACACACACACTAAAGCGCGTTCACACCGTCGGTCGATCGTGGACGTCCTATTGTCCCTCGTTTGTTTGTACTCTAACTTTTTAGGAAGACTCCCATAGGTTTGGTACACGACCCCAATTGCGGACGTATGCTGGGAATCGTGGACGATATTGTTCTCTTTTGTTCTCTGGAATTTTTCGTCCACAGTTTGAATAGATGATCACGCCCACCCAGACAGTCATGTTTTACTATACTCTCGAGGACAATGCTTTGTGTTTCCCTCTGTCTCTGTAATATAACACTCTCCCATAGACTAAGCACAAAACCGTACAATAGAGGACCGTTTTCAACAAAAGACTCAATGCCCGAGGACTGAAAGGATCTGTTGTTTTCCCTTTGTGTGTCGGTCCTCGGGGATTATGTAGAACACGTACATACCAACACACAGAAGGAATACGCGATCGCAACAGCAATAGTGTATGTGCTTTCTTACCTGATATCGTAGTATCAAGGATGGTATCTTGACTCCTAGCTGCTTGCTGAGCTGACCGGCCTGTTCCACATCACCTATCCTTCTCTCTTGACCCTCAGATTCTACAATAAACAAACAAATTTGCCCAAATTTTTTTCAACAATTCACTGCTCAATATGCACATTACTTCAAATTTCAATTCTATTTTCAGTTTCACAAATTGCACCCAACCACTAGTCTGAGTATCATCCGTTTTCAACAGAGCCCTCTCCGTAACCAACGTCTGATAAATGTGAGCAATGCAAATTTTATGCAGCCCCACGCACATGCAGCCAATCATAGTTGACTTTAGAAATTGTGACGTCATTTCGAACAGAAATGTGGACTAAGCTGTTGATTGGTCAATTTGGCTGCCGTATTTTTGTAATACAACAACGGGTTTACGGAATACCCGATAGAAGGCACCCGCTGAATGGTCAGAATCTTGAGGTCAAGATGCAGTCTTGTTTTGCATAATTATCGCCGAATCTGCTCGCATATCATAGACCTCTAGAGGAGATATTCCATAGACTACCAAACCACAGAATGTTAACTGTTAACTAAGCTAAAGCTAAAGAAATGAGGCATGTACCATTCTCGGATGTTTCAGCCAGGTAGTACAGGTTGGGGTTGTCAGATAAGTGAAGGGCTCTCATTGCTGCTTCCTGTGTGGGGAAGAAAAATGAACAGATTTGAAAACTGGATACCAAACAAAACTAAACATTATATTCTGTCCTACTCTATGGTGCAGAGACGTGGACCCTCACAACCAAGGAGGAGAAGTCACTGGATGAATGCTACACTCGCATGCTACGTATAGCCCTCAACGTATCGTGGCAGGATCGTATGAGGAATGATGACCTCTACAACGGCATGCAGAGAGTGACTCACAAGATCAGACAGCGTCGTCTTAATCTTGCTGGCCACTGCGTCCGCCACCCTGAGCTTGCCGCCCACCCAACCATACTGTGGGAGCCCACCCAGGGCACTGCCTTAAGAGGGAGAAGAAGTCTGATCTTTGTGGACCAGCTCAAGAGGGACACTGATCTCACATCTGCAGAGGAGCTGCGCACCTGCATGGTAGATCGAGACAGCTGGAGGAAGAGGACTCAGGGACTGGCTCGTGATGTCGTCACAACCCAGGCGACCCCGACATGATGATGATGATGATATTTCTATTGCACGTGAGGCATTCTTGCAAAATGAGACAGAACTGGGCACAGGCCATACATGTAGCAGAAAATGCCAAAAACCAAATGGGGATGTTTTTTTTTTCTTGATTTTCAGATTTAGTGATATTTGTATTTGTTGATATGTCTACTACACACATGTTTAAAAAAAGAACATGAAAATTGAGAAGTAAAAGTGTTTTTAAGATTAAACAATTGGCATATTTCATTTTCACAACTACAAAACTTGAAACTTTAAAGGCTTTTTCTTAGCATTTTACTTTTTTGACATGTCGATAAATTATACGAACATTAAACAGACATAACTTGTCAATGTAATGTCCGATTGAAGTGCAACAAACAGAATTGAAAGGAGAATTTTATTCTCTTTCCCAATACTTGCAAACTCTCATTCCGATCTCTACCACTTCTGTCTCATTTTGCAGGAACGCCTCACATGTAAATGTATGCGTGCTCTACAAAACAATTGTCCATAGTTTCTATTCAAAATCAAATCTCCCCACCCCCAGGCGAAGCATAAATACATAAAATCTTGTTGTATTTGGCATGGTAAGAACTACAGTGAAATCTCGATAAGTCAAACTCTGATAACTCAAAACAACTGTTGAGTCAAACAAAGAATCCATTGCCTTCAGTAGTATAACAGTGATATACAACCCTGCTTTACTCAAAACTCTGCTTAAGTCAAATTTTGAACCTGTTCCCTTGAGGTTTGACTTATCGAGATTTCACTGTACTTCTATTTCAATCCCATTTTTAATTATTAGGTCGAACTCAGAGATTGACCTGAGCGGCATTTGAACCTGATATCCCTGAAACATCACAACATTTTGTTTGGTTTTTGTTTTGGTTTTAACAACACAAGTAGATGAAAAAAATTACTGAAATTGCTCAATCCGTTCAAAGAATATCACCATTAAAACGCAATGACCCTAAAACCTGTATCGCCCAAAAAAAGCAATTGATTGTGTGTGTGTTTGACTGTTTGGAAGAACAAAGAAAATGACACTGAATACTTGTTTCAACAACTGTCAACAACTGTAGCACACAATATCTTTATAAACAACCCTGGTTAGGCAAACAATATGATTCATAAAATCCACTTTTTTGAGAGACGGGCCTTCAAAAGGACTTTGTTGAATATTTGTAACTTTTAAAATGAGGTTTTATCGCTGGTGATGTTTGAAGACAATTGTGACAACGTTTCTTGAAATCGCATTTTTGGACAAGACAGGTTTTAGGGTCATTGCGTTTAAATGGTGATATTCTTTGAACGGATTGAGCAATTTCAGTAATTTCTTTATCTAAAAGTAGCTTATTAAATTGGCTTTCCAGTCATTATTATTTTTGGTGCTACATATTTTTTTTAAAATATGAGATATATTTTTGGGGGTTTGGGTTCCGCTTTTTTTGACTCACCCTGTATTAAAAAAAACCACCAAAAAAATGACTTATCAAATACAACCTACGTTGGAAAGTCTTCTGAGACAGTAAGTTTTTGTTCCCTACTCAGCATGGTCAGAAGCCATAAAGCTGTACCACTCCATTTTGTTTTTTCCTTGTGATGGTTCACACTTCATTTCCTTCATCAACAACAACATCTTCCGCCCCCTCCCGTGTTATTTTGGGCCCCACCCCCTCTTACTTACCACGACTTGAACGGCGGTGGCATCCTTCGAGACCGAGATGGTGTGCGAGGATTTCCGCCTGACTGACGTCTTGCCGTCATATATTCTCAGCAATTGACCATCTGTGAATCAAATCGAAAAGAAAGCAAGAAGGGTAATTTTTTCTTGCTTTTTTTGTGTGTGTAAGAGAGTAGACGAAATAAGTGTCGGGAATCCGCCTGGCGCAAAGTTGTCCTTGGGTAGGCATCAAGGAAGCAGGGAGTGGGAAGGAAACGTAAGATGGCGTGGGGCGAAGTTTTCCGTTCTTTGGGGGGACCTTTCCAGGATTTCCCTGTCGGAACATTTCCTGTTTTTTCCTGTGGAGGTACTTTTTCCTATTTTTCCATGCAGGTATTTTCCTTGTTTTTCCGTGGTGGACTTTTGCTGTTTTTTTTGGGGGGGGGGGGGGGGGGCGGACAGGACCTTTCCTGGTTTTCCGTGGGGAGACTTTGCATAGTTTTCCATGGAGGGGGGGGGGGGGACTTTTTCTTTTTCCATGAGACTCTCATGCCTTTTTTCCCTTTGATTTTGTTGATTACCAGTATCTTAATCTAAGAACATACATGAAACATGTATAACACGTAGTTTAATGGTGAAAATGTTGGATGGCAAGGTAGTACTATTCATATATTTTTTTCTAGTACCCAGGTTCAAATCCAATTTAGGAATTTTGGTTTTTGAAGTTTGTAAATAATTCTGTGCCTTTCTATTTCAACACTTCGCAAGTTTTCTGCTGCAATTAGCAAAGAACCTTCGCTTACAAATACAGATATAAAATTGAGCCCTGTTTTGATGTTACTGTGTAAATAAGACATGTAAGAGTGGACTACATTTCTCAACTTGGGAGTCAACTGTAATTTTCATCAGTTTCAATTTTGTTTGGCTTTAATTAATTAGTGAAAAGCCCTCGCTTACTATTAGAGACATGAAAGGGATTCACTTTGCTATTTTTGGAAATTGGAGAGAATTAACTTTATTTTTTCAATTTGTAATTTAATTGCAATTGCTAAACGCGATGGAATGCTTCACTGAACATCTACAGTTTCTAATGCCGCCATTGTGAATTCACTTATATTACTCTCGGTGGTAAACAAATGAGACAAGTACTGTTCACATGCAATTAGGGATGATGAACTTTTTTAACTGTAATATCATATGTGATGCCAGACTTCGTGAAGTGTGCACTACAGACTACATTTTGTTTGCAGCTGTTAAAGGGATATACAACATTTGCAAACATCAAAAAACAAAACTACCAAATTATTACGAAATACCTTACTGGACTGTTAGTGAATGACAGTCTAAAGCATCCTGTAAAATCATGGCACCTGGTGTGCTGTCATTTTCCAGAAAAAGTGGTACTTTTGTATCAATTTCAAATGCTGGTCGGCCGACCAGAGTTGGGAAAAACCTGGCTTTTTCCAAATACTGCCCCCAATTTACCATATTTATAGTTAGTCCGCATTTTGTTTGTAATCGATTACACACAGGTGTGAACGGTACAAGCCAGCTAAACTGGTTCCCTGACCTTACAATTCCCATAGGTCTATAAATGGTTGTGTTTCATCTTAAGTGGGGTCAGGGAATCAGACTACAGGAACATGATTGTTTTTCTTGGCTTTTCCAGCATCTAAGAACACAAAACTTCAAACAAGTCAGTGTAACAATATTTGCTATCAAATACTAAGGTCAAAAAAGAAACTTTTCGGTTTCTGGTATGGAGCTTGCCCGAAAAGAGGTGCGGCGATGCAATTTTTTAAAAAAATTTTTTTAAAACTTTTTTTCCTTCAAATGTCGGCTGATGACTGCAAATGGTGCCCGACTAAATTTAGTGCAAAATATATGGGAGCCCAGAGAGGCCACATTAAGCTTACTCAATCATAACCCCATTTAAAAACACGTTAAAATTGTGCGGCAGCAGGATTCCAATCAAACCAGTGAGTTTAGCAGTTTTCAGACATCATTTTACATTAAATATTTTTTTAAAAATTTTGCCGACACGCATGGCTATGGCAACGCACGCGCATACCAGAAACCGGAGCCTTGTTTTTTTTTGGCGTAACCCCCAAACCCATCTATTTCTGAAAATTACAGCAAAAGCAAATGCTGTACGGTAAATTCCCTTTAATGTCTAGTGTCTCTGAACTATGGACTGCCAAATACATACGGCAGATGTTCAATGTCCGTTTAATTTCTGTCCCCAGAAAACAGAGACAATTAATCTTTGTATCAGTTACTGCAGAAAATTGTCTTCTCTTAAAGAGGCATTCCCTTGCTATTTTGAGTTTCGCCTCGAAAAGTAGATTTTTTTCCAATTGCTATTTTCCCAGCAATATAAAAGTTTTCCATTTTTGAATGAGAAATCAAATGAAAAAAAATGCACCGACGTTTAGTTATTGAATTATTTCTGCCCAAAATTCAAATTATTGGCTGCCAGACAATATCGCTCTTCAGGGTGTGAGTGACCACTGGTAAAAATAGCTGAAAACAGCTGAAAAAAGGTGTAAAACAGCTGAACTTTGGAAATCTCCTATACTTTTGTACACAGCAAGTGAGGGGAAAAAGCTGAAAAAAAGCTGAAATCCAAAACAAAAAAAAAAGCTGAAATCAGCTTTAAAGCTGAGATTTCACACCCCTGGCTCTTGCACATGTAGGGCAGGTTCATTGGTGCGCAAAATGAAAGCCCTGTTTCGGAGGGTTGCAGATCGATGCTCGAAATGGGAATAAAGTCATTTTATTTGTTAAAACAAAACATACAAATTGAAAAGCCGTTAGGAGAAAAACAACTTCTTTCAAGAGCACAGGGCATGCAACTATTAATAAATGTTCACAGATTACAACTTTAGTTTGATTTACATGTACATGTACATAGAGACATGTGAAAAAAACAATGACCCTTTGTAATATTTGTTGCAAAAATAGTCTTTATTGACTTAAAAAAAAAATCCACAGTAGGTATGTACATTGTACCTGTTCATGTATCCAATGACCATGATAACCTACACTGCACTTTCTACCATTATACATGTACATTGTACATTAGAATACGTACAAGAATGTTTGTTTAATTACCCGTAAATCTTTATTATTGTAAAGTGGATTGCTCAAGGACACAAAACTCTCTGTTTTTCAATTACACGATAAGAGGCTCAATCAAAGCAAAACCAGAATGTCATGGTACGATTTTCATATTGTGCATGTGGGTGTTTCATATTGCATAATTGTGACCTGTTCTGTCAAAATCAGACTTTTCTGGGCATAAAGGTCGAAAAGGATTTTTTTACATATTGTTAATATATGGTTTTTTTTCCTTTTAATACATGGTTTAATTTTTGAAACTGGTCATTCCTGGGCAGAGTTATGCTATTTTGAAGTTCATTGTGTTGAAAAGTAGAAAACGGAGAAAATGGCCACGAACGTCACAAAACAGTTATTTCTTTAACTGATATACCCTATCAAAACCATCAAAAATAGTATATGTAGAGTTCAAATTAGGGTTTCAAACTTTTATAATATATTTTAGACATGTTCAGGATTACAAATATACAAAAAAATTGAAAATCGATAAAAATCACCTCCACAGCGTTTTTTGGCCCTATCTCAATTTCAACCTCTGCCCAGAAGCGTCTGCTTTTGACAGAACAGGTCACAATTATGCCAATACATGAATTTCTTCTTTCAAACATATGCAGTAGCTGAGGTTAAACAATCTCTGTTTTGGACCTCCATTTTGTGTGGTTCAATGTTGTTTACAGCTTTGTACCAGTTTCGCCAGACAGGGCCAATCTGAAAAGGTGTGCAAAGTACAAGAGCGCGGCTTTGTGAGTGCTCCAACGGCCAAAATGCTTTGACAGCTGGCACGCTACATCTGGTCGCAATTTCAAAAAAAAAAAATTCATTTAAACGGCCTTTCAAAAGTACATGCATGCGTAACCTTAGCCTCCCACTGAGACCAATGGACCGATGATATGCTAAAAAAATATTAAAAAACGAAGACGGAGAAGACGGTTTGCCAGATGTAATCTTTCGGAGCAATAATAAATTATGCTGGTAGTTGATGGCATAATGGCATGCGGGTTAATATAAGTAATGATATTTTTTGCGTTTTTATTTTTTATGGTTTCAAGGGTGCGTGTGACGTCAATCGGTGATTGAATGGGACAATTTATGATCCGTAAAAAAGTCCTTGTGTTTTGTATACAAAAAAAAATATGTTGAGTATGTATCTTTGTGCGAGATGTAGGCTCGCAACTTGGCTCCACTATCAATATTTGATACATTTTGGTATTTGAAATAATTTTTTTTTTTGGGGGGGGGGAAGGAAATGGAGATGTTTCAAGTTTCCTGCCAGTTAAAACAAGACTAAAGCGTATCAACCCTCCTATGCAAACATGTGCCAAGTAGTCCTTTCTGTGCCAAGTAGTCCTTTCAGTCAAAATCAATCAAGTGACCGTTTTCAACAGTTAAGAATTCCCAGCCTACAATAAAGCAGGATTGACTTGCTGGGCCTGTTTATGTAACTTGATACAGCTTGGCTTTGACTGTGGGTGATTGATAAGCCAGCTGTGCCCACAACTTGCCTGCTGTGTGGTTTAATGGTCTGTTGGCCGACTTTGACTAGTCACAGTGCTTGCTTGACATATGATCTGACTGCTAGTGACTAGCCCGTGTTAAAAGTATAGCAGGGGAAGTGGATGGAAATGCTGGCTCTCTGTGACTGTTTAAACAGCAGGAGGGTTAAAGCTGGTCCTAGGGTGCACATAATTCTACTCAAGAGTTTGCCACAAAGAGTTCATTTTTTCCCAGGCATTGTTGGAGATGGTCGACAAATTTGCAGCATGGGACATTTGAAATTGTTCGTTTTTCGCAGTCAGTAGTTTCGTTAGTGTATGATTTGAGGATCTGTTTGCCCTTTTCTTTTCTTTTTATCAACATGGTGTTTTTTTTTTGTAAGACGGCAGAACGCTGTGCCTCAATCTATAACAAATTAGCTAAAGTTGTCTATTGACACTCATTCAAATTTGCCGTGTTTTGCTGACCATAAACTTGAAAAATGGACTCTCCACGGCAAACTGTTGGTGGT